TGACAAAGAACGAGCTTTCTCCCTGGCGTTGGTTGATCGGCGTCGATCTCTGTAGTCCCTCTCCCTGGTACGACTTCTGGCCCTAGAGCGATCTCTCTGTGAAGAACGATATCCCGGAGAACGCGAATCATGGGAGAGCCTGCGAGACATGGCGCCGACTAAAACTTACGCGCTGGAGGAGCAGAAACCCTGCATGACCGAACCAAGTTTCCGCGTCAGAAGTCAGCGAATCATGTACTGTCCATCACATCCGAGGTACATATGGGCGGGTCTCAATATTCCTTCTTCCAGGAAAAGCGGATGCGCCCTATGTGAAGCTCTCAGATTGTACATGCATGGTATTTTGACGTCCGCCCAAAGCAGTCCTAACTAGCCTCCAAACCTGCTAGCTCCCCCCACACCACCCCTCCCCCCGCCGAGGCGGCCGAGACGAAGTCTCGTACGGGACAAACACCGAACCAACCGGCAACCGAGGCCCCCGCGAAAAAACCCGCCGGACACAGCCAGGGCGTGAGAAGAAGCCCCCTAGGGACCCCCGAAAACTCCTGGACCCCGCCTGAACCTGGGGACCCCCCGGCCCAGAAGCAAACCCCCCTCCATCGGCTGCACCTTCTGGGATGTAGCTCGCAGCCCAACCCATGAGCATGATGCTACAATCTTCAGACATGGAAAGCAGCGAATGTGCGCTGATCCCAATTTTCAGAAGTGCCGCTTCATGTTGCGCGACCTCACCATTCATGAGGTATCATTGTAGCATCTGAAAGAATGGCTACCCAGTCTAAGGAATTACTGTACGGCCTCATGCCATGCGAGGCAAAGGTATGGCACCTGACCGCATAGATGTGGACAGGCGCTCAAATCGGCTAGGAGGCAAGGTAAACATGGGCAATCCTCCAGCATCCCGGCGGGTCTGAAAAGACTTGCGAACACTCACCGTGAAATTAGTGATACGTGTCAAATTGGAATGCAGAACCCACTTCTTGTCCTTCTTCATGTGGACTGCGCCGCTGATAACACAAGCCCTCTGAGCTTCCACGCCCGAACCTGATTTCATAGTGTGATGGATGTCACCACACACAACTTCACCACCCACGATCACAGGTTGTGCCCACTTGCCACTGGAAACGACACGATCATACATCTCTGTCAAAGAATGAACATCGGACCACAAACTGGCCTGGCTATAGTGGCCTACTGCATCATCCCCGTCGGCGTACACAGCAGGAGCTAAATACTTCAGTCGAAGAATGCCATCCAGACCTCCAGTATCAGTCCCGTGCCCAAACTGAATCAGGATTTTCTGAGCATCCGAAACACGAGGGTCCATCCGAGTCCAGAGCTGTCTCAAGTGAAATACCCAATGTACTGTCAAAGCAGACTCAAGAATACCTACTCGCTGAAAGACCTCTAAGGCTGTAGCGCCTGTGCGGCAAATCATGGACGCAAAATACCGAAGCTCAAAATCTGGTAGGACGGGCACACCAGAATCCTGACAAAGAAAAGTGAGTTGCTGCATATTGAGCCGTACTGCTTCTTCAGGAACCTGGGGATAGCGCAAAGTTTCATTCCAACTCTGCAACTGGACTGTATCTGCCCCGCCTGCCATATGCTGAACAGAGACTGCAGTAATGGTACTGCTAGCCGACGGAACCAAAACACGTGGCTCTCTGCGCAAAGAAACATCCGTCATTCCATCCAGAACTGGTGCAGGAAGCACCGTGCTTGCAAACTGGCGGGATCCTCCAAGTACAGCAGTAGAGGCACCTGAACTCGATACTTCCGAAGGTCCTGGTGCTAGGACTGACTGCGAATTTGTGTGTGTTACCACACATGTGGAAGATGAATCTGGTCTGACATCGGACGCATCTTGCGGCGGTAAGGCCCATGCCGGCAGAGGTCGATCATCCACGCTATGAGTTGACACACAATCAGAAGGCAACGCCCACTGCGGCAGAGATGTGTCATATGCTTCAGAAACCCGAAAAACCTTGCGTCTGCAAATCGGTGACCGTACCCCCCTCGCTTCACGATGCGGGCTGCGCGATCTCTCCAAAGAACTGCGTGACTCCTGTAACGTCTCTACCAAGTCTCGGGGCCCGGGCTTGCTCTTGGCACGAGCACCCGCCTGTTCCAATCTGGTCCGATACAGACGTTCCCTTGCCCGTTGCACAAAACGAGGCTCGGGAATTGCCGAGCCATCCGGTGCATCCAGTACTTCCGACAATGCAAAAGCGAAAGAAGACATGGCGTTACAGATCCTATCAACTAAAGGAACAGAAAAGGCTAAAGGAGCCGAGCATCACCAATCCATCCAAAAATTCCATTGGCGCTGAGGCCTCTATTACGGTCCGGAGGACCTCCATTAGGCCCCACCTCGGGCCACACGGGTGCTAAGTCCCACCATTTTTGCTCTTGGGGCTAGCCCTCTGTTGCCCATCCACCTAAAAGTTACTCATCGCTCGAAAGCGGTCTAGTGGGCTCCATGCGTGGCACTAGGCCTCTCGACCCAACCTGCTAGGTTATTGGGCCTCCATGGTACCATGATGAGTCGCACAACGACCCGTACAGCTCCCTCGCGGGATAACTGCGATTGGCAACAAGGCCACACACGGAGATAAGAGAGTAAACTCTCATTGGCTTCCCTGTCCGGAGATCTCCTGCATGTTGATGAGAATGAAGTAGTAGGAGTACTAATGCCGATGTCCCAAGGTGCAAGCCATCTGGAGCGTTCGGACTTGAAATTATTTGAGGACCGAGGATTCCGGGTTTTGAGGGTACATGATGTCACAAGCAGTATAGTGGATACCAGCTGCAACAACTTGCCCAGGTACTCCACGCGCAGGTACGTTTTCCTGCCCGATGACATAGAGCTTCGTTGGCGCGAGCTATGTCAAAGGACCTCGCGCCCCCTGCATAAAATACATTCTCCGCCAAGCCTCAAAGACTTTCCAAAAACCCTTAGCTTAGAATCAGGGTGCACACACACACACACACACACACACACACACACACACGCACAGATACACATACGTACAGAGACATGCACAGACACACGCACACGCACACCCCCCCCCCACCCACACACACACACACACACACACACACACACACACGCACAGATACACATACGTACAGAGACATGCACAGACACACGCACACGCACACGCACACCTACCCACCCACCCACCCACCCACACACACATACCCACACACACCCACACAGGACATGAGTGTGTGTTCGTGTGTGCGTGCTTGCGCAGGTGGCTACTTGGATGTGAGGGCCTCTTCGGTCGGCTGGCTCCGGCAAGAGGCCATCGGCGGCTCACAGAAGACTGTCTACCAGGAAGCGGTGTCCCAAATGCCGGAAGCTTTGTTGCAGAAAGATGCAGAAAGTACTTTGCCTGGTTGCCTCAAGTTCCAGGGACCTGGACCTGCTGTAGTCTTGCGTCACCTTTCTTCAAAAGTGGTGTAAGCTCAGTACCCGCCCTCTTACAGTGACAGAGAAGCATCGTCAAAACGTGGCTCGACAATGCGGAAAAGAGCCATCCGACCCGATAAAAGACCACATGATCCTATCCGTGTTGCAAAGCACTGCTTGTGAGGGCTTCAGGGCTTACAACCCTAAACCCTAAACCCTAAACCCTAAACCCTAAACCTGATCTGGCATAGTTGTACAAAACATGCAGCCAAACCAGGGTGGTGGAGCAAGGTGTCGACTACGCTGTAATACGGGGGGAGGGTTGCACTCCCTTTGGATCCTATGGGTTGGGGTTCTTCTGTAGTGGACTTGTTGTTTGTTGTTGTGACACACAACCCCCCTGCCGAACATACCGTCATCCAACCACGATTTCCTACCATGATTGCCCCCTGCGGGCGATGTGTTCCGGGTAGCCTTTTGAATGCCTGGGAACACCTTTCTCCTTTCAAGTTCCGACCTTGCACCCCGCATTGCCGTGGCTAGTCGGGTGGCAAAAAAAAACCCTAAACCCTAAACCCTAAACCCTAAACCCCTTGTACAGTAGTTCTGGGTTTTGGGAGAGACGAGGTGATGTTTGCGAAAGCAGAGATGGAGGCGGCGCAGAAGGCGCTCAGCGAGGCCGACGAGGCGGAGGTCCTGCACAAGCAGAAGGCTTACGAGGAGGCCCTGAAGATCCTTTAGGGTTTAGGTTGGGGTTTAGGGTTTCGGCTTTAGAAAAAGGTTGGGGCCTAGGGCAGGCAAGATCATGCTCAACCAGTTCAAGGCTGAATCAGGGTCTGGAGGCCATATAGGGCTTGGGGTTTATCGTTCTTGTGCTGTTGTTTGGCCGTGTCGCGGTCCGAAAGGGTTTCTGCACACCAGCACGCGTTTTTTTGTGGGCCTTGAAGTGTTGTACAGGGAGAGGTGTCGCGGATCTGCTGCTTCATGATCGAATGTCAGGCCATCGCCAAGTTTGAAGGAGCTGGAGGCAGAAGCGTGGAGGCGAAGGTTGCAGATGTTCTGACTGGGCTCGGCTTCTCACGTGCGGTTCCTCGGCGTGATTATGCAGTTGATGATGTATACTTAGTATACTTAGTTGTAATGCAGACGTGCGTCGGGGCTTTGCTCGGTCCGAACCCCCCAACAGTGTCACCGACGACTCCTCACGGTCCTCACGCGTGACACAGTCGCACAAGCGAGACTCGCCAAAGCGCCAACCCAACTTAGGGTTTAGGGTTTAGGGTTTAGGGTTGAACCAAGGACTTCGAGAAATCCTGCGCAGAGCTCTCTGGTGGCTGGCAGATGCGGGTGCGAGCCTTGGAAGTCATGTTGTCATGTTGCTTGCACAAGCTACAGAGCCACAAGTTATCCTACAACCCACAGCTCGTAGCCATTTTGGCTCGACCCATTCCATCTGAGAGAGGCAGAATAGTTGCCTCGTAAGCAAGCATGAACAAGATCATGCAACCCTTTGCACAAATCCCATAAAAAGCCCATTCCATGTCAACGCCGAAGCTGGGATAGTAGGTTGCCGATAGTTGCCATGAAGGATGAACTCCTTGAAGCTGCCTTGAAGTCAGCTCTCACGGCCGATAACCTTCGCAGCGCTCTGCGTGTGCCCCGGCGCCCTGGGGATGCGGGCCGATCCCAGAGACTCGATGCGGCGGTTGCGCAGCTCCACGACCGCGTACGCTCCGCGTATCGCTCTGCTTACCTCGAGCCGGAGGCCGAGTCCAAGGCTGCGAAAACGGTGGCCGTTGCGCCTGATGCCAGCTACAGGGTGCGACTCAGCTTTGCGGATGGGGACACACAGCAGCCGCTTCCGACAAGGACGTCCGAGATCACGGTGGACCAGAGCCAGAAGGCTACTGCAAGTCTGACGTGCACGCATTGCCGAAGGCCACTGAAGATAGACATGATGCTTTCGGATCCTATGGAAAAGTCGGTGAAGTATCTTGGCAAACCGCGGCACGCGTATGTTGCGGTGTTGCCGGATGGCAAGACCACAAGCTTTCTACAGGCATGGCTGCTTGGCTTGAGTCTTGCAGCACACGGTGATGGTCAGGGCCAAGCACGCCCAGAGCGGATGCTCATACACAGCCCATCTGTTCCGCGGCCTTATCTTCAAGTCTTGGGAAAGGTGTGGCAGCTCACAACCGAACCTCTGGGATCGTGGCCTGCGATTCTCAGTCATCCCACGGTTCTGAATCCCGGCCAGAACAGATTAATGCGATTGCGGGCACTGGGCCTGAAGTTTGACAAGGTGCTGGTTATTGCCCTCGGGATAGTCGCCACTGATGTCTTGGATGACGTCTTTGAAGCAAGCTGCCCGGCTTTTGTAGCGGAGAAAACCCATGCTGGTCCTCAACAAGCAGGCTTGCCTCTAATGCTGCTCCCCTGCAGCCACCAGGCCATGCGAAGAGTTGCTTCGGACACAGGGCAAAGATCCCAGAGCGTCGCTTTTCCTCCCCGATGTGTGGCTGGCCAGGGGCCAGTAGAAGGAGATGAGGTGTTAGGCTACTTGAAGAGCTTCTATCGCACCTTTTCCCAGGGTGACATGCAGGAGCTGCCTTCAGAATTGTGCCTGAGAATGAAGTTCTACGGCGTGAAGGTGTGGAGACATGTAGAACAGCTTCTTCGAGATGGAGCTTCAACCTCAGCAAGCTCAGATACTGAAGACCTGGAGGGGCTGCTCCAACTTCTGCGTGGGAACTCAGGACACAACCTTTCCCAGACTTTGACTTCTGTTGATAATCAACGTTGCGGTCGCTGCAAGGCCTTCGACTCCAGGGGCACCTTGGATCCCCTTGACGGCCTGTGGCGTTGCCGGTTTTGCTGGGAGCACATGCTTCTGGATTCAGCTTTGAAAGACCCCAGCTGCATACCCATGCCCTTCCATGAGATTGAGACCTTGCAGAAGGATCTCGGGGATTGCTTCGTGCCCGGTGAGAGGCAGCGGTGGCGATGGAAAGAGTGGGAGAGAGATAGAACCTGGGTGGAGTTTCGGCCGAAAGGTGTTTTATGGCACAGCCGCAATCGAGTTGGGGCTTGGGAGATGTGGACGGACCGGGGGGGCAAACAGCAGCTGTCCATGCACTTCGTTGACTTTGACGAGGATGGCCACCGTAGGCCCGAGACGCGACATTTGCTGGAATTCCACAATACTGGCTGGGCGCGCTTTGAGGAGTATAAGCGCGAGCACTTCCAGCCCCTGGGTTTTGTTTCAGAAGGCCGCAACTACCGAGACCAGAAGCTAGTACTGCATCCGCCCGGGTGCTTCCAGCCCCCGCGCAGACCGCCAGCTGATGAACAGCTGGCGGCGAACTCGGCAAAAGGGGTGCGGCCGATGAATGGCACCAGGGACTTGGTCAAGGAGCCGAAGCAAGCTGCAGATCAAAATGGAACTGCCGTGAATGAATCCCCTGTTGGGCAGGAGAATGGCGTGCATCGCCAGGTCAGAAAGACTGACCCCCGAGATTCGGTTCCGGCTGATGTTGCTTCTGCGGAGTCGGAGGCACAGCCTGTGACCACCGCGCGGGGAAAGCTCGCATACCTGTTCGGCCAGTCATAGGCCGCTGCCACATCATTCTGTTAATTTCTATTATCTGTAGGGGGCGTCTGCCAGAAGATAGGCATGGACATCTGCAGCTTTCCAGGTGGCAGTGGCTGCTGCACGGACAGGTTGGGAGTTCCACAGGCCCCAAAAGCCCAGGTAGTATGTCCGATTTGAACTGGGCAGAACAAGTCCCAGCAGCTACTGCAACAGCTTGGAGCCTTCTGCACCAGTTCAGGAAAGAAGCAAAGAAAGCGAGTTGGGTTAAGGGTTGGGTTGAGATGTAGTTTGGGGTTGTGCTGCTCGAGATGGCTTTAGGGTGCATTGGTTGCTCATCTTACTCAAGCCGCCACCGCTTAAGGCGAATCTTGCAGGCTCAGATCGCAACTATGGAGACGCTTCGTGTTGGCACGTAAAGGCCTTTGTTAACGCCTGTTCGCAGGCCTTTCTTGCGTAAACTTCGATACACACTTGAAAGCCCGACCCCCCCCCCGCCCCCAAAGAACAAAGGGTTTCTTGCCTGCAGCATGAACCAGGTCGTGACGATGTATTCGGCACAGCTTGGATAGAGGCATCAAGCAAAAGTACTACAGGCGGAATGTCATGAACGTGGAGATCAAGCACGCGTGAACTAGATTAAGCAGAAAGCTCGAATGCGAGAACGAACACTATCCGTCTTCCATTTTCACACAACCGAACCTAAATACATCTAACTCCGATATCCTCCACATCCATAACATGGAAGTTTTGCTGAAAAATCGACCCTTACAAGCACCCAACATCAACCAAAGACCCCAAACAAAAGCAACACACACACACACAACCCCCCCCCCCCCCCAAAAAAAAAAAAAAAAAAAAAGAAGATAGAATCAAAACCGTTGCCAAGGTCGCCTTAGCTCGGGCCCTGCTGCGAGAGCCCGAGTTGCTCCTGCTCGATGAGCCCACGACTCTGGGCCAAAGATCCGGCTTGCCAGCTTCCGCTGCAGGGTTTAGGGTTTAGGGTTTAGGGTCCAAGGGTTCGTTTTTAGCAAAAGAGCTTAGGGGTGTGGGGGGGTTCAGGGTTGGGGTGTGGGCATTGGGCATCAGTCCAGGCGACGCTTCCAAGCCTGGGGTTCAGGCAAGAGTTGCATCAAAGGCTTTAGTGTTGTTCTACCATCTGCTCTGCTAAGAACCCGAGCTCTGTGCCCCAAAACTTCTTACCGCTTCTCCCCGTTTCCTCTGCTGGCTCTTCCATGGTGGCCCTGCGGCCCTGCGTCGCTCACTCTCAGCCACCTGTCCATGCAGAGTTGGTACATGCTTGCGTCTGGCATGAATTGTTACTAGTACGCCAGAGTTCTTCGTAATCCTTAGGATTGTCTCGGTGCTGCCTGAACACCGTCCGTCCAATGAGGTTGTAAGGGTCGATAACAGTCAAGAATCAAGAATGGAGAACTGTCTTTTAGAAGCATCAGAATAGAAATTGACCATCACTGCTGTTGTTGTTTATTGTTGTTCTCTGATGCAGAGGGAAAAGATATGAAAATATTATCAAGCGCTTGACGAGTTTCGATACAGTGCTTGAAGCTTCTCAGTCTCACCAGAGCCTCACGCGACGTGTGCAACCGAGGAACCACATGGACGCCTCGGCCAAAAATTGGCTAGCCACGTATCTGGCTGCAGGCAGGATGCATGTTGAATGAGAAGGGTACATTGCACTTTCAAATGGCCACCTTTTCATGTCGGCAGCAATTCAGCGCTGCGCTTGGCTGAAGCTTTGCTCGGTTCACTGTCGCAAGGCCTGCCACAGACCAGTGCCCTGGCAAAATATGGGCCTGTTCCTGACCGCGACCGCGTTCGGCTTCGCACGCAATGCATGAAACCAGGAAGTAGGAAGTTTTCAATGGTTGCTACAGGAAACTCAACAGGAATAAGTACACAGATGCAAGACAGTACTGGGACTGCAACCGGAAACCTCTCATTCAGGAGTAGTTAGGGGTCGCATTGGCATGCTGCATGGGTGCTGTTGAGAGCTCTGCGTGAACTCCTGCTTGGAAGTGGGGTTGTAAGTAGGGTAACTGTAAGTATAAATTGGTTATAACCTTATTCAGGGTACGGATTACCCTACTTGTAACAACCCCTGAACAAGTACATCGCCAAGTGCTTCTGGGCCATTCTGCGAAATTTGAAAAACGTGATGCGCCATGCAATGAACACAGGGCTTCGCAGGTGCCACAGCTTACAGCTACAGAATTTGGGTTTAGGTTGAGGCTTGAGGGTTTAGGGTTTAGGGCTATCAGGGTACCGGCAGCTTCCTCAGTCCGTGCTCATAAAGTCCTTAGGGTTTAGGGAAGGACACGTAACAGAGTCCCCTGGCAAAAAAGGCCCCCCTGAATCGGGAGCAAAACCCTAAACCCTACCCTAAACCCTAAACCGACCTTGCACCCCGCATTGCCGTGGCTAGTCGGGTGGCAAAAAAAAAAACCCTAAACCCTAAAACCCCAAACTTCAGGCACGCTGCTCCTGGTGACGCATGACCGGTCTCTACTGGAAGAGATGCGATGCTCACACGTCTATGAGATCGCCGAAGCGCGGGCTTGAGATTGGGGTAGGGTTTAGGGTTTAGGGTTTAGGGTTTAGGGTTCAGGGTTCAGGGTTTGCTTAGAGTTCAGTGTTTAGGGTTTAGGGTTTGGACACGCAAGACCCTCAATACACGACTGTTGAACACCTTACGTAGGTGCAGGCGGCTGGGTGGAAGAGACAGAGAGTGTGTCCGAGCTTTCGGAAGGCAATAGGCTTTGGGATGCTCATGGTTTAGGGTTTAGAGAACAGGGCCTTAGGGTGCTGTGCGGTGCTGGCTGAGCAAGGAACGGCGCATCCTGGAATACCAAGTCAGAGGCATTGCCGAGACTTGGCTGTGAGTGAACTCATGGGTGGACATGAAGTCGACATGAACAACTAACCTAGCCAGAAAACGCTGAGGCTTTTGGGCCCTTGTCCAAAGCATTCCTTGACCACTCAGCTTCCCTATCTTCCCTGTTCCAAGGAGTGGGAGCACAGCCGAGAGCGAAGAGTATCAAGACTCCAAAAAGAAATGCTTAAGATTGAGAAGAGCATCGCGGCCGACGAAGATTACGTCCGGAGGTAGCCTGATGCATGTCACTTCCAGCCCAAGCCTGAAACCTAGGAAGACCTTTCAGAAACTGTGACCAGAAAGATTGCCAGGTTCGGCGCGAAATCCAGCCACGCGAAGCAGGCACAGCACTTGGACTTGAGCGACTGGCTAGATCCCGCGCTTCTCTAGGTAGCCGGGACAGTTTCAAATTTCAAATTTGCTGTGGAAGCGAGACTTAACTTTAAAGGCGATAGATACCCCAGATACCATCGTTTTGACGGAGAAGGCGATACATAATCCCAAAATCGATGCCCTCAATGAGATGTCTCAGTCCCGGACTCTAAGTTTTGCCGCGCATTCACATGCTGCGCTCGAGCTTAAGCATGCATCCTTAGAAGTTGAACACTGCCGTTCTGCCTGGCAGCATCAACTGACATCCGTGCTACTCGCTGCGAGATCTTGGAGTTGTGTGTCCAGGCGCAGGCGCGGAAGAAGCGGATTGCGAAAGCAGAAGTGGAGTTGAAAGATCTCCGGGCACAAACGCGAGGTGCTGGAAGCAGCAGATTTGCATTGGCGACAAGATGCGATCAGATGTGCTTATTTGTTGCGACGGGTGATGCAGAGGGCTGATTACAGGTTGATGTTTCATGTCACCTTGCATGTCTCATTTAGTCCCGAACCAGCTACAAGCTAGATCCAGCGCAGCTGAAAAGCGTGTGAGCATGGGCTTAAAAGATACGCAAGCAAGAAGGATCGTCTGGAAGCTCGTCCATCTTGCCAGGTTTGCCATCAGCTTCAGTTCTGAACGGCAAGAAGGCTGGCTCAGCAGAGGAGGGTCCGGGCCTCAAGCTGACGGTTTTTTTTGTTTGGAAGTTGCCGTCATCATCAGGCGCGGTACCAACTCCGATGCCACTAATGAACTACATACCTGGTACTTCAAGGGATTTTCAGGGCTTAGATGCTTCTGGGACAAGGACCTCGCAGGATAGATCGTTTCCGATCTATGGGGAGGGCTCAGCTCCAAAGATGCAAGGGACCCTAGAAAGCCGAAGCTTTATGACACTCCAGCCCCCCCCCCGTGCGGTGCAGTTCCATCGCGGAAGATGGGAATGCCCAAAGATGTAGGGTTTAGGGTTAGGGACCATGGAAACCCATGTGCTTCACTGGTCCTGGAGAATCGTAGATCGATGCCTCTGTTGTTTAGTATACCCTAGCCCGCTTCCCCTTACCTCCCTCCGCTAGCCTTCGTGCCGCCCCTTCTCACGCCAATATTTGTGATTGAAAGGCTCATTGACCTACACGCCCCTTCGCACACGCCTACACGCCCCTTCGCACGCCCCCAAGTGGACATGGCTGGATAGTAATAAAGCTCAGCTTCAGGTGAAGAGGACGATCGCCAGGGCTTGCTGCCGCTCTCAGGGCCAGGGAAGGTGCTGCGACCGACTGGCTCTTGTTGAGGTTTATGATGCTTGGGAAGGTTGCCTGGGCGTGTCGACGATCGCATCTGCAGGGCAAGAACATCAAACACGCCTGCAGACGACAACGTAAACATGAACGTAAGGGCACACGCGGATTCTGTGCAGGACTTCCAAGCCCAGTAGTCTCAGCAGTCTCATGGCCAGCGACGTCTCGGGATTGTTCCCAAGCCATGCACAAGGTGAAACACTGGTTTGCGGCAGGGCTCAACTTGCCAATTTACACGGAAGGCCACAAAGCTACCCTGCTAAAGCATCAACCCCCAAATCCTAGAACCAAACTCTCGCGAGAAGCCGAGCCCTCAGCCTTAAAGCTCGACGCCCTGCACCCGCCTGAGCAAATCACTGCCAACCTCTTCCAAGGCTCAAAGCCCAAAAGTCTTCAAGCATCTGGAATTTCAGGTAAAGTTCAAGCTCCCAGACTGGCCGCTGGGAGCCTCGCCACCATTGGACCAGAAGCTGCTGACCTTGAAGGCAGGGCTGTAAAGGGATAGAAGTACTTTGGGGTTCTAGTTTGTAGGATTCTTATCGGGTTTAGGCTTACAGGGCTGGCTGGAGCAGAGCTTCGGGTGGGAGCGATCCAGTTCGCAGCGAGGGTCACATCGGGCTCATTGTAAGCTGAGAGGAGGGGCAACACAAGGTGGCAGGGGTGTGGCAAGCATGGAAAAGCATGCTCTCGAGCTTGCCCCAGTGCTTAGAAACCCGGCCGTGGGCCTTGCAGATGCCTATATTCCCCCCTTACCGAATGTTGCCTCTCTCATCTGAGAGTTTACAAAAATAGGGGACCCTACTATAGACCCCCAAAATAGCAGGACCCCCCTTACAACAAGGACCCCAAATAAGATACCCCCTCCTCATATCGCAAGCCAATCAGGAGACGGAGGTCCGGTATGATGGTGGGGAGCCCGTCTTAAACATCGAGGAGCCGCTCCAGATAGAGAGGCATGGTAGTTGCAAGGCATGTACTGTGCTGGGACTTTGCTGATATTTGCAGCTTTCCGCCGCCTTTTTGTTTTGGGCTCTCAACTGCCAGAAGCCAAGATATCTCCCCCAAGGGGGATCAATCTCCCATGTTGGCGTTCGAAGTGCAATGCGATACAGTTCCCGGAGAGGTTGCCGCGATTTGTGGCTCCGATCCTTTTTCCTGGGATGCGGCCAAGGCGGTGATGCTCGACCCGCAGGACTATCCGACATGGCGTGGCGTGGTTACAGCACCGCAAGCAGATGTGGAGTTCAAGTACCTCATTGTAAAGAGACTTATCTTAGCAGCGTAGCAAGCAACCTTTATCCTGTTCTTGTCCAGCAGGGGTCGAAGTAGAATAAGTAGAAGAACCCCCCATTTTTTTTTTTGAACCCTGAAGTTGTCCTTTGCATCACCTTATATAAGGAGAGGGGAGGGCGCTCCTGGAGACCTGGTCCGTTGGGAAGGCGACTTCCCGAACCGTAAGATTCACAGAGACAGCACCGTGGCGAAGGTAAAATTGCGCCATCGCTTCGGAGACGCGACGTTTGAGTGCAAGGAGGTGGTTCACGCCAGTGGCCAGATTGACAGCGTCCCCGCCAAGCAGGGCGGCTACGCAGAGGCGCAAGCGCCACAAGAGGCGCCGCCACTCCCCATCGCCAAGCGCAAGATAGAAGAGACCGAAGAGCAAGACAACTCCGTGCTTGGCAACATCGCGGTTGACCCTGCGCTTCGGCTAGCTCGCATGGTGCGCTCCCAGTCTGCCACCATGTTCTCCATGAAGTACGATGTGACCTGGGGTATTCTTAGGGGACTCTGGCTGTTGCCTTTTCCTCCTTTGTGTTATTTTGTGCATGTGGGTCTTCTAAGCACAGGATGCATGCCAGCAGATGGAGATCCGAGAGCAGCCAAGGTCAAGGATACGGTGCTCGGCACCGGCATGTCCGGCGGAGTCGTTGTGGGGAAGAACAAGGAGACCGGGGTGGAGGTTGCCATCAAGAAGCTTCCCCTGAATGCTTCCATGAACTTGGAGCACATCAAGTCAGAGGTTCAGCATCAGCTGACTCTAGACCATCCGAACATTTGCCGCCTTCTCGAAGTCTACGAAGAGCCGGACCGACTTCTGCTGGTCATGGAGAAGCTTGATGGCCCCGACCTGTTCGACTCCCTGTCCAAGAAGAGCCGCTACACGGAGAAGGATGCCAGGGAGGTGGTCAAGCAGATTCTCAGCGCAGTGGCCTATTGCCACCGCAATGGGGTCTGCCATCGCGACCTGAAGTTGGAGAACTTCTGCATGGAGGACAAGTCGGAGAACGCCAGGATCAAGATGATCGACTTTGGCTTGAGCTCGTCCTTTGATGACTCTCTTCCCATGACCGACTCTTGCGGCACCCTCTACTATGTGGCTCCAGAGGTCCTCCGAGGCAAGTACAACCAACAGTGCGACATGTGGTCTCTGGGAGTCCTGACCTACATCTTGCTAGATGGCCGGGCCCCCTTCATGGGCCGTGACGACCGGAAAACGTACAGGCTGATCTTGGCGGGAGGGTACACCTTCCCCGAGAATCGTTGGGGTGTCATCTCAGACGACGCCAAGAACTTCGTCTCGAAGCTCTTGGTGGTCGACCCCGAGGTGAGGATGACAGCAGAAGAGGCCATGCTGCACCAATGGCTGAGCAAGGATCACGCAGACGCAGACGGCGCCGCTGCTGCTCCTGCGCTGGATGAGAACGTGATGGATGGGCTCAAGGCCTTTACACGAGGAAACGCCGCCAAGCGGGCGGTGCTGCGTGCAATGGCGCCGGCAGCATCTGTAGATGAGGTAAGCCGGTGGGCTGATCAGTTCGAGGCCTTCGATAAGCAAGGCACCGGAAATGTCAAAGTCTCTGTTCTCGTGCAGCGCTTGGTCTCGCAAGGCTTGGCCACTGCTGCCGAGGCTGAAGATATCTCTGCTGGCCTAACGGCAGTAGCCGATGCGTCCCAGGAAATTTCATATTCAGCGTTTCTTGCGGCATGCCTTTGTGCACATCATTCGAACCTGGAGGAGAAACACTTGAAAGAGCTTTTCTCGAAGTTGGACAAAGACAAGGACGGGCACGTCAGCGTAGAAGAAGTTGGGAAAGCTCTGGGTGGTGTCTTGGACGTTGATGCGCTGGAAGCGGAAATGGGCGGACGGGCCTTGTCGTTCGCTGATTTTCAGTGGCTCCTTCAACGACCGTTGGCTCCGTCATCCATGGCCGGGCTTCGTCAGCTCCTGGGTACCTTCCAAAACCTGGGTTTGGCAAAGAGCTGGCGTGTGGATACGGCCGCTGCCAAGGCCGCCAAGGACGGGGACGGCGTCCAGCTGGTGGCCGCGAGGCGGGAGAATGCTGCTTGGCGGCAGTGGCATCGCCAGCGCATGCTCGGAGAGACCCCGGAGGACCCAGCCGCCGCAGGTAGTTCTGCTGAGGGTGATGACAAAGCCCGGATGTCGCCCAAGAAGCTGATCCTTGAAAGCATACCTCTACCAGTTCCAAGCAGCAGACCAGCAAGCAGCCGTGGTGAGATCACACCTCGGGAAGACCCATTAACAGATCATCTTCAGCCCAAGGACTCGGCGAAGAGTCTGCAAGACTCAGCCGACAACGCAGAGCTGCAGGCCGAGTGGTCTGTGGCCACTGCGGCGGCCAAGGATGGAGACATGGAGGCAGCAAGGCGCGAGAATCGCGCATGGCGGATGATGAACAGGGAGAGGGCGAACACAGGGCAAAGCTCTGGTTCTCCCGACTCCTAATAGATTGCTCGTGATGAGAGAGTCGATCGAGCGGCTCAGAAATGGCGTGATTGCTGTCATGCCTACCACCGCGACAGTTTTTGTTCGCACGACATGTACGTAGGATTGGTAGAAGCCGTCAGCCGCCAGCGGCTGTTAGCGCAATCAAGTCGAACGAGTTGAAGCCATGAGCTAGCAGGCTGCGGCCTTTCAGGCCACATGTGGCTGCAGCAGGCTGTAACACTGCTGTAACCCTTAAGCAGCTTCTTCCCACCGCTGGGAGGAGTTCGTCGTATCCGCAGGGCAGCGGCTCGCATTGCTTGGGCCCAACGGCTGCGGCAAAACGACGCTGCTCCGCTCGCTGGCTGGGAAGCTGGAGGCTGCCCGGCCTTGGATCTTGTCAGGCCGGTTCTTAGTAAGTCTTAGTAGGGAATAATCCCTGAAAGGGTATATATATATATATATACATGTGTGTGGATGTATACATATATATATATGTAATATATGGATGTATATATATATATATATATAGATAGATATATATATATATATATATATATATATAGCGGCCTAGTTCCCTCATTCCCTAATAGGAACCAGGAGCCTTTTCCCACTCTTTCATGTCGTGAACCTCGGGCCCATGGGCCACTGCCCCTTGGCCAAGGTCGAGGTGGGCGCCCGTATCCTGGGCGTTGGCGGCCTACGCCGTGCCCGCGTCGCCTACTTCACGCAGGATCTGGCTCAGGCCCGAGAGACACCAGCTGGGTGCGTGAGGTTGGGAGATTCCAGCCTTTTTTTTGGAGGTGGATTTTTGGGATCATACTGCATGTCATCGCTCCAGCGCGGGGGAGGAGGGACTGACTGGCTGGATGGCTGCACCAGCTGGTTCCTTATAGGTTCTACTTGGATATTCATGGGCAGTGAAAAGTCGAGCTTTGCTAAAACAGCCTTACCTCGGGCGCTTAGAACCCTACTTAAAAACTACCCATGAACCTCCAAGCATGCGAGGTTTATCTGTGGGCGTAAACCTCAAGAAGCCAGGATCTTCCAGGTGACATGACGCCTGTGGAACACGTTTTGGGTGACGATGCGCCGATCTCGCTTGACATGGAGGGTGCTCGTGCTGCGTGCGGGGCTAAGTGGCGACCAAACCTTCTGGTTGCAGAACTGGAACACCTTTCCTCAGTGGTTGGTTGTCTGGGCTTCTGTCTGTGCCATTTGCCGGTACTGCTGTAGTTCGGTTCCGGTGGGCCACAATTGTTTGCCAACATACAATACAAGAGCCATGAAATCTGAGGCATCAGGGCCATTGATCAATCGCAAGAGTCAACGAAAATTGTCTGAGGCTGGGCGCGCTGGGCCTGCGGGGAGCTTGCCACAACTCCCCCATCAGAACCTTGAGTGGTGGCGAGAATCTGGACTCGCATTTGACAAGTCGTGCATTGCATTGCGCTTCCGTCCCTCATCGTTGTCCGATCCGCAGTCCATCCGCGCCAGAGGAGCACACAGAATCTTCATGGCGTTAGGTTCGACTGGTCCCTGTTATAGAGCGACATGGAAGTGCATCATCGAACTAACTCGAGCTAAACCCCCAGCAGGCTGAAACCCCAAGAGCCAGTTGGGTATTTCCCCTTGCATGCCTTGTGCGACTGAGCGATGAAAGCCGAACCATCAGATCCAGGTCCAAGTCCGCCCTGAACGGTCAGTTGCGGGTTTCTTAAATTGGGGGTACCTTATTGGGGTCCTTCTTTTCAGGGAATCCTAGTATTGGGGGGTCCCGTGTTATTGGTCCCTGATTATCGTAAACTCCCAGTCTGTTGACTCAGGAAGGCGCGTGTGGCGCTGGCGGTGTTTGCTACACGGCCTGCTGATGTGCTGCTGCTGGACCCGAGTGTAAACCGGAGCATCGATATCTAGAATCTTCCGAAAGCTCACCGGTTGAATTGTGTCCTTGCAGGCTGACAACCTAGACAATTCCTGTTGTGCTCCTGGGATACCCATTCACACTCTACAATTGGCCGCAGCTTGCCCCTTGTCAATGCCGGTTGGCCAAAAGCAAAACATTCTCGATCACTCTTTGTTGGACTGGTTGCATTGCAAGACACTTTCTCACAGTCTATCAGAATAGCTATCACGGAATAGCCTCCAGAACACCGAACATTCCCCGTGCCCCGTTTAAGCCACGAACAAGCCCCGCTCCAACGACAGAGGACGAGCCAACAAACCACCTGGATGGGGCTGCTGTCGCCTCTCTTTGCACAGGGCTCCGCGAGCATGGAGGAGCGGCTGCTGGGCAGAAATCATATCGGTGCGTGCAGATGAGTATGTTGTAAAACGAAATCGGGATCATGATGGAGATGCCTTTGCGTGATTAGGTTTAGGGTAGTTATTCGCATCCAGCCTTCGCTTCAGCAGGTGGATGAAGGTGGTGGCCGTTGCTGCTGTTGAGGTTTCCTTCATCGTGGCCATTGCATAGACTTTATTGCCGTTGTGGCAGTCAGTGGATGGTACTGTAGTGTTGGTGTACTGTTGGTGTGGTGACGGTGCTGATGGGCGTCTTCTGCTTTGTTGCTGTTAGTATGCTCCAGGGTCAAGTTAGACAAGGCACAACAAATGTAGGCAGCTCAGCCCTGATAGCTTTGAATCACCAGCCTGCCTGCCAGAGTTTGTGTGTGTGTGTGTGTGTGCGTGTCGTCTCAGGTCTTGGTTTCATCCCACGACAAAGCCTTCCTCGAAGCCCTGCACGTCACAGATCAGGCAAGCATATCATTCCTCTTCACAGGGTCTGGGTTTTCATGAGTTGGGATGTTCCCCGTTATACTGCCGGAAGCAGTCCTTAATAGGGATTGTAATAGGGGGTAGTACAATCCCTATGAAGGACTGTTAGCATACGGGGGGACCTCCCAACTCACCCTAAACCCTAGACCCTGAACCCTAAACAACCCTAAACCCTAAACCCCTCAACCGATGCCCTGCCTGCGTGTGAGAGTCGACACCCCTAAACCCTAAACCCTAAACCCTAAACCCTAGTGCCCTTTGTCACGCAGGTGCACATCGTGCGAGCAGAGGTTGGAGAGCCAGGCCGCTTGAAGGCGCCTCTGCCACTTCTAAGATCAGCCAAGTAAGAATAATAACAATAATATTATTATTAGTAGCTAATAATAAAATATAATAATGACCAATAGTAACAATAATAATAAGCAGAAGCAAAGGCAGAGGCAGATGTGCGTAGTAATTTAGAATTCAGGTTTTCCGGTGCAAAGCACATACATACTGACGTTTCTGTTTCACAGTCGCCTGCACTCATCCCCTTCTTTCTTGGCGGTGGTGGAGGGGGTGGTGGGCATTATTCTGAAGCTCTGCTCGAAAAGCCAAGTGCAACATTAGTCGGGTTTGGTAAGTTGGTCCTGGGCTAGTACTCATAGAAGCTGACAGCGGAGCAGTCGGTAGCTCACATTTCCTGACAGGCTTGCAAGAATCATGCAGCAGCGACGAAGGTGTGATGTTGGGTCTGATGCCAGCATTGCTGCATGAGGTCATCAACGGACCTGTTGTGCGACTCGGATGCATGCAGCCTGACGGTCTGACGAGGTGCGTGTTGGTTTCAGCCGCTTTGCGCAGCATTGCATGTGCGCAGCAGTTGATTTCATCATCCGCTGCTCATTAAAATTATCTCTTTTATTGCATGCCCTGCGATCTGTTGTAGTGACCTTGCAGTAGAGATGAGCAGGAAGGAGTTCGGACCCTGCCAATAGACACCAGCAAGTCGTCCAGTGCACAGCCCCAAGGCGTGACATCTTCCTTACCGGTAGCAATTCCACGGCTCCTTCGTCACCCGCTGGTGCATCTACACATGTGGCTGCTGTGGAAGAACCAGGCATGGATCCGGGAACCCTAAACAACCCTAAACCCTGAACCCTAAATTAAAACCCCAAACCCTAAACCCCAAACCCTAAACCCTAAACCCTCAAGGCTTAAAAAGAGGAGTTCTGTGTGACCCGTGCGGATCCGTCGAGGCCCCGCCAAAGCCGCACGCAAGCCTTCTGCCTCGAGAGCCTGGCTCTTATGCTGCTGAGAGTGTGGGATGTGTCCATTAAAGGGGTATAGGGAGGGACCCCTAGAAGGGACCCTATCTTTCTCCCCTCTATAAGCCCAAAATGTACCTTATATAGCTCCTATGTACCTAAGTAGCCCCTAAAGAACCCCGAAGGTCCCTTATAAGGGTCACTCCTTCAGGTCCCCAGATGTGTTTTAAGAAATCGCTGTGGCATTGACAGCACAACTGAGGGCAAACTGACAAGAAAGCTCACCAACGCCCAATCCTAAGAGTGCCGTGTGGATGGTGAGCTGATGCTTGCTGAGTTGCTTCCAGAGTTTCCAGGCTTGACTCTGAGATCATGAGAAGTACGATCCGAATATATGAGCCATCGACTTATTGACTACATGATATATTTATACACACACATATATATCTATATATATCGAGAGAGTAGAAGTAAATAAGTCAAATGCATGATATTTATATATATGCATATACATATACAATTGTTGTCAGGTCATGCGGAGGATTGAGCATGCCGAAGGTCTTCTACAAGAGGCTGCCACAGCCATTCTGCTGAGTGTCGGGTGAGTTACATCGCTCTGTCAAGCGTGCTCAGCTCAAGCGCACGGGGTGGAGCTTGTCTTGTCGGACTCATGGCAAGTAGCCAGCTCGCAGTTAACCGCCGACAAACAAAGGACATGACAGGCGCCATGTTCTCCCCCTCGGCATACCTGATCAGGCAGCGGATGCCATGAATGTCGAGTACAACGAGGCTGGTGCTTGACATCATGTCTCGTTCCGCAAGTACAAAATCAGCCGTGTCAGAAGTTTCAAAAATATTTCATATTCCGTATGAAAGGGTCCTTCTGTTGCCCCAGCAACCGAACCACATCAAGCCTGGGGGGCCACAGTAGTAGAGGGTATCTGTTCCCCTTCCTCAACAGGGTTTACTCACAGGGCGCCTTTGCCTTCACATGGCCTCACAAACTAGTCTCGCAGCACGTCGCACGGAAAAGTGCATGTTTGCAGCATGTCGAATGTTGGGATATTCTCCCTTATAATTACTAACAGTCCATGATAGGGATTATGATAGGGGGTACTTATTAGAATCCCTATCAAGCACTGTTAGTATAAGGGGGAACATCCCGACGGAAATGTCAGGAGACGTTGGCGGCTTATGAAGCTGCGAACGCAAACGTCGCAACTTGGCCGCGCTGGGCACCTCTTTGGTTGTGACTCTGCACCGACATGTGTGCATTCTCGTGCTCAAGTGCACTTGCACAGGGGTGCTGCCAGATTTGGCCATTCTTGCGCAAGCTCAGGAAGAGATGTATGAGAGAATGCAGTCGTTGGAGGACCAGCTGGCAACATGCTAGCTGGATGGACATGCCGCTAAGTGGGCCTAGCATCCACGCGTGCAGTTTTCAGTAGTTTGAGAATTGAGAAAGAATGAGCAGGTCGCGTGCCGCATGAGGTTTGCGAGAGAACCACGGTAGTGGCCAGTGTTTATACAAGCAACGTGAGAGACCCGTTGATTCGGACAAGCCCCTGCGAAGACTTGCATACACGTAACTGCGGCATCCAAGATGACCAACATGTACAGCGAACAGTTTTCAATTGTAGAGTGTCACCATCTTCTGCCCTCCAGGCACCTGTAGTATGGCAACTTCAGCTGCGATCAGCTCAAATTTTCCACACGCGCGAATTATTTCAGGTCTGTGTCAGGGTCGTGCTCGTGGCTGTCAGTAGGTCGGAAACACCTCTGCCCAAGCTGCGACACTCTACGTATTGCCAGATCAACGGCTGGAGCCCCGAACTCTGGGCCACACATGTCAACGGCGAAGAACGCCTTGACAATTGAGTGCCCGAAGCCGAAGTCCGACACCTTGCTCCACCACCAGCTGAAGCCCGAGTTGTCCTCATCAAAGCTGAATACCTTCAAGACCATGAGACTCTCCTGAGCCAGCAGCACTGCGCCCTCGCGGCGGGTACGCCAGCTGAGAAGACCGATGCTTCAGGCTGGGAAGTGAAGACGAAAAAAAAGCGCACCAGGGGTCTTGTCTTGCAGCGGTTGCAAGACTGTAGGACCATACCATGAACAGTGATGCAAGACCTGCCCCTGTCTTATCAGGAAAAACAACATGCCTTCACTGCGGCATGAACGCGAAACAGTAATAACGTGAAACGCAGCAAGCAGAAGATGGCACACTCGGATCTGCGTGACAACCAGAGCTAGAGAGCCCTGGGTGGACCTAGAACCCTTAAGCTTCAGCAGGTTTAGGATCAGGGTGTTTCGGGGCCTGGACCGAATAGACGGCGATTGAGGACTCGCGATGATTGGTTATCCCAAAAGGACCTCATGCCTGCTTGGATGTCCCAGGTGTTGGAATGATGTTCGCTGGGCCGCTGAGCACGGCATCGTGCACGCCTCAAATTGGCCCGGTCGTTTCTGCATCATGTTCCGTCGCTGTGCGTTTGGGCTTTTGGGCATGCATAGGGCCGAAACCTCCTGCAACCCTCGGCAAGAGAAAGCTGCCACTGGTCCCCTCCCACATCCCCGAGGCGGAGAACCCCGAGTGGTATCCAGAACTCCGCCGTGGTGCGCCCTGGAAGGCCACCCTAGAACCCTAAAACCCTGAACCCTAAACCCCAAACCCTAATCCCCAAACCCTAAACCCTAAACCCGAGAGGTCAGCTAAGCGGGTGGCAAAAAAAAAACCATGGAGGGTTTGAAATATCAGGTGGCTTTCTGGTAGGGAAGAGCTAGCCATGATCAGAGGGGATCTCTGGATGACAAGGTCCATTCACGCTAAGAGAACCGATAGAGGCCGACCACAAAACCGCCATCTCGAAGGCAATATCTCATCCCCTCATGACCGACGGGGACCAACCCTGTTTCATGCAGCTTTGGCGTCAGATCGTGGCATCCCCCCCCCCCCCCCCCCCAAAAAAAAAAATAAATAATAATAAAAACAACCTGCTAAGGTTTAGGTTTAGGGTTGAGAGTCAGAGCACCTAAACCCTAAACCCTAAACCCCTCTCAGCTAAGCGGGTGGCAAAAAACCCCAAAACCCGAATCAATGCAGGACATTGCGTTGGTGCTGTACGTGCACGGCCAGCCGGGCTGCCCTCGGCCTTGCATCGCCCTGAGTTGCAGCAAAACGTGTGCTCCGCCATCCCCGCCTCTTTTGGAGGTTTAGGGCTTAGGGCTTAGGGCTTAGGGCTTAGGGTTTAGGGTTTAGGGTTTAGGGTTTAGGGTTTAGGGTTTAGGGTTTAGGGTTTAGGGTCCTAGGCTTTGGAAAAAAATCAGCAGGATACTCGGCTTATTTGTCCTGGCAATCCCTTCCACGTTCATAGGGCCACCTACTTCGGATTACCTGAAACATGCATTTATGGTTCCGTGTCCCGTGTCCCCCCCCCCCACCCCCCCCCACCCCCCACCGGCCCCCCCACCCCCCCCCCACCCCCCCCCCCCACCCCCCCCCCCCCACCCCCCCCCCACCGCCCCCCCACCCCCGCCCCCCACCCCCCCCCCCCACCCCACACCAGACCCCCCACCGCCCCCCCACATGGGGTGTCAACCCCACACCCCCCCACCCCCCCCACCCCACCCACCCCCCCCCCCCCCCACCCACCTCCCCCCCCCACCCCCCCCACCGCCCCCCCACCCCCACCCCCCCACCCCCACCCCCCCCCCCACCCCGCCCCGGCACCCCCGGCCACCCCCCCCCACCACCCCTAAACCACCCCTAAACCCCAAACCCTAAACCCTAAACCCTAAAACCCGAAACCCTGAACCCTAGACTAAGTGAGGGGTCGCTTCCGTCGAGCGACAGACCCCGAACGCTCGGCCGAGGGCCTTACAGCCCGACCGCCCAAGCGAAAAGAGAAACGGAAAGGCGAGGGTCCCCACCGTCTGTCCTGGACAGGCCAACGGACATCGGCCTATTTTACGACAACGTCAGTGCTCGGCTAAGGGATGGCCGGCACCCAGACCACCTTTAGCTACGCCCCAAATCGTAACCCTTTGCCTCTTTTGGTTCAGGGTTTTGGGAGGGTTTGCCGGGCCCTTGGGCCCCCCGGCCCCTGGTGGCTGGATTCCTGGACCAGGAGGCTGGCGAGGGTCCAGGCAGGCTGGTTGATCAATTTCGTGATGTAATGCCCCCAACCCAACACCGCCCCGAACCAAGGACTGCCCCATGGGCCCCCGGGGCCAAGGCCAGGGCCGGCCAACCAAGGGCCCGCCCCTGCGCCAACACCCCTGAACGAAGGCGCCCCCAACCCAAGTTGCCTTCGGGCCAAGGGCCTCCTAGGGCAAGACCCTCCTCGGCCAAGGGCCGTCGCCCGCACCAACAAAGTGCTACAGCCCCACAGGAATTCCCAAAACAGCAAAGGCCTCTACGGGCCCTGACGTGCCGAAGGCCCGAAAAGGGCCGAGGCTACCCCGAACCCCAGCTTAAACCCTATCACTGCAAAACCCTGCGAAGGCCTTCAAGCAAATAAGGGCTTCTACGGGCCCTAACGTGCCGAAGGCCCGAAAAGGGCCGAGGCTACCCCAAGCCCCAGCTTAAACCCTAGCGATTGAAATACTCATTGGCGAAAAAAAACTAATAGGTTTCCTGACCTTCAAATGAATAAAGCCTCTACGGCCCCTGACACGGCGAAGGTCCGAACAGGGCCCCGAGAGACCCCAAGAGCCACCAAAACGCTTCAAAACACTTCAAAAGACTTCAAAAGGCCGACCCCAGCATGCCCGTACCCGCAATGAAAAGAAAGCCCCCAGGAAGCCCCCAAAAGGCCCCAAGAGCCACCAAAAGGCTTGAGGCCCTTAAAAGGGGAATCCAGGAGCAGACACAAAGGGTTTCCCTGACCTTCAAATAAATAAGGGCCTCTACGGGCCCTGACACGCCGAAGGCCCGAAAAGGGCCGAGGCTACCCCCGACCCCAGCTTAAACCCTAACAGCGCATCTTTAAAAAAATCAATGCAAGCATCAGAGCGCAAGAAAATAAATTCTATAAACCCTAAACCCTAATAGAGTATTGTTTGGGTGGCCGGGGTGGGTTGACGGGCAACGCGAGCGCGCGGCCCGGGGTGTTTCACACCCGAGCGCGCGCCTTCCCCTGACACACCCTAAACCCTAAACCCTAAACCCCCAAACCCCAAACCCCAAACCCCAAACCCCAAACCCCAAACCCCAAACCCCAAACCCTAACGGGGAAAGAATTTTAAACCCTAAACCCAAACCCCAGCCCCACCTCCCCACAGGGGGGCCGGGCGGGGCGGGGAAAGAATTTGGGGAGGGGCCATGGGGGGGGGGGGGGGGACCATATGGGGGGGGGCGTGGGGGGGGGCAGCGACGCTGCACCCTATATGTGCTTTTTGACATATACATATACATACACATGTATATATATATATATATATATATATAGATAGCCAACCCTTTACCCGGTCAGTCTCTGAGAGGCGATGACAAGGAGCCGACCGGTCACTATGCCGGATGCCGAGTTTCGGGTCGACTTCGGTTCCTGGCCCAAGCGACACCAGAAAACCAAATATGAAGAAGGTTTAGGGTTTAGGGTTTAGGGTTTAGGGTTTAGGGTTTAGGGTTTAGGGGGCTTCCTCACACTGAGCTCACTTTCGTGTGTTCAAATGCATATCCCTTACCTACGGAGGCATTGGTCATCAGGCCTGCCGAAGGCATCTGCCTGCGATTTATGTATTGACAAATAAACTCTGATCAAAGCATCAGCAGAATTAGGGGCTAATGTCTCATCATGAGCTGTAAGCCCTGAGCTGTGCATGGATGATTCTCACAAAGAGGTGATCCCTGGAAGCCCGGATCTCTCTCCTACGATCTCCTACGTATGCTCGACTAGAAGCACGAACTCCAAACCATAGAGATGCCTTAGAACGAAATCTGCCCAGGTACCCTATGACCCAGAGCAGGCGAAGGATTGGCGACGTTGTGTCTTCTTACGCCGCGGTTGCTTGCCCAGCTCCACACCCAGTGTGACCTACACCTAGCCCTCATGGAGTCTTGTGCTTTGAGGAGGACAAGAAGATTGCGGAGTTCGAAGACCTTGCCGCAGGCTGGCCGGGCGATCAACTTTTGTGACATTGTGTGAGCATGGTTATTGATTGTGAGCCGTATAGCAGGGTGGTGCCGCCGCAGGCGAATTTGTACTTCAGTTTACCCTGGTATATGGGTACATGTGCCTGACATATGCCATCACGGCCCTTGAACAGTGCTTCATTCTTGCGCCTGCCGAAGCGACATGGGGACTTGGCTGCTGCCCGCCGACCTGAGATCCAAACCCTTCCCATCGGTGCTCAGTTTTGTTATATGCCGAGGGTCTGAGCACAGCCACAAGGACAGTGAAGAGGAGCAGCTCCGTTTGTGTGCACAGACACTCCACGGGGTATGTCAGATTGGGGTGATGTGCGTGGGGGTGAGTGTGGTGTGCATCGAGTAGACTGTCCGAACTGTGTCAGAGCTCATTGATTTAGTGACTTATTTAAGCAGAGGAACGTTGGGCTAGCATGTCACTCAGCTCCTCGCAGGAAAAGCAAAACCCCGACGTGGCCCGGTTGTGGCTTGACTGCTACATCCAGGGTTTCTGTTCAGGGCACAAGGGCTGTTTCATGTTCAGAGTCAGGTTCTCCGCCAGTTGAGACAGCTGAACATTCGTTGCGCCTTGGCTGTCTAAGCAGCCGATCAGTCAAGGGAGACCCTCATCCAGGCTGAGGAGGATCGCAGCGAGCTCGGAGTGGTTGAGCACGCTCTTGTGAGTTGAGGCCGTCCGCACTCGGAGTAAGCCCTGGTGGTCATTAGTGGTCCTCGGCCGCGGCATCCGATTTTAAATCCAGCCACCGAGGCAAGCAGGTGAAGAAGGTGCAAGTGGAGAGCGACGACTGTGCCAGGCCGCGACGTGCCACCATTCCCAGAGAGCCCACCCCCCAATCATGATACGGAATCCATGATTCCATGAATGTGAATGTACTCGTACCGATGATAGTGTGTGGTGTCCGGTGCATGCTCTCATTTGCGTGCTATTGGGCCTGAAACCCTAAACCCTAAACCCTAAACCCCCTGACCTCTTAAGTGCTAGTGCGTCCCAGTGGACAACGGATGGCACTGACCAGGCCGGGCTACTCCTACCATCCATCGATCTTGGAGCCAGCGCCTTAATGCATGGCAAACGTCTTGCATGCGCAGGCATATAAGGAAACCCTTCTGTAGTTTAAGGGGACATATTCCTTAGTTAAGGGGCATTGGGGGTTTCCGTGGTCTATGTGATCATTCTTTAAGGCGGCAGCTGGATCAAAAGCTGTTTGCTGGTGCGGTGTTTCTGGTGCCCTCTGTCTTCCGCACTGCGGCTGAGCGCTGCACAGCGTGCTGAGGTCACCTCGAACCTTCAAATCCTCCAACGAATGCCGCGCTCATTGCAGGCGAGGTTTGGTTTGGATGCCATGAGTGTTTCTGGACATTGCATCCAGCAAGTGGCAGAGCCTGCACATTCCAAACAGCAGATAAGTTTATGCGAGGACATGGCCTGGCGCTGGCTACTTCACGTTCTATGCCCCGTTGAGCGCCTGCACGCCTGCTCAGTTCTGGAAGAGTTTCTGCCCAATGTTGGGGTGCTGCGTGCCCCTCCCTAAGGGATCTAAGAGTGACACTCAGAAAAATTTGGATACCTCCCCCTTAATAAACACACCCTAAGATACTCGAATCCTTTCTATGGGAACTCTATGGAACTCTAAAAGTCTAGAAGGCTACTGAGCCCTACTTTTAGAATCCTGAACGAGCCCGCCCTGTCTGGGAGAGAGGCCACTGCTCGCCCTACGGCGCCACAAAGGAGCAGGTGGGGCCTTGAGAGGGCACTTGGGGGCCCTTAAGGTGGCCATGAGTTTCTGATATTTGTTGGCCGGAAGCCACCCAGAACATGCAAGCCAATCCTCGGCTAAGCTTTTTTTGTGCACCGCGGTGGAAGTGGAAGGGAAGGCATCGGAGCGGAGTTGCGAAAGTTCTGCCTGGTCTCCCGAACGCAAGCATCAGAGGCTTCAGACATCCCTAATGAACAACTTGATTCATGTGAACACCGTTTGCAGCAACTTCCTTGACCTCCTAAGTGCGCATGGCGAGGTCGAAGATTTATGGTTGAATGTCAAGTAGTTTTCGGAATCTCTGTGGAGTCCTCATGCAACGCTTGTCGCGACAGATGGCGGACGTGAACAACTTGGCCGGAGCGCTCGATTGTGCGCATCCTGCTGCCAGCATGTGTGGTTTTAGGCTTAAGCGGCTTGGGATTTCCTGTGCCCTCCATATGGTATAGGTAGAGCCAGAGGCAGCCCAATACTCGTGCAGAGCTGATGACCGGCTGACCACCAAGCCGTGCTTCCATTACTGCTTGCGCTGCATGACTGCATGATGATCTCAGATCATTTCCAGTGCGGGGCAAATCTACACGTGTAGTGACTCGAGGTATCCGTTCTCAAGCGCAGCGTGGTTTTCCAAAAGGTTGTGCTCTGCATGGGTCCTCGCAGTTGGGGCAGGTGGTTCCAGCTGGGACAAGATCAACAAGGACAGGTAGCCCGGAACAGCCCAGGTGTACGGCTTGATGTGTCATGATGTCGTGGTTTCAGCATGGCGGCAGCGACGACGTGCAACATAAGCTAGGCTGCTGCGTGGGTTGGCGCTGCTTTCTGATACGGAGACACTAAGTGCAAGATAGTTTTGTGGATCACACAGCAAGCGCTGGAGTTGATGGTGGCGAGATCGTCTGCAGGACATTTCATCCCAAGGTAGACGCGAATTCTTTCAAGTCTGGCCCATGAAGCCATGCATGAGCCGGCCCTTCCTCAGAGCCTTCCACCTCCGCCCCACTTCGGGCTCGCCGCCAGCTCGCGCCGGCGGGCTACGTGCCCGGCAAACCTGAAGGGAGAAGCCAGGCCAGCGCATCTTGGTGGCAGCCACGTCGGTTTTCCGGGGGTATCCAAGATGACAGCAACCTAACCCCGGGCCAGACGTGTCCTGTGGGTGTTGGCAGGGGGCTGCTTTGAGAAGTGCTCCCATGCCATTGAACGGCCTAAACCTTTGAAAGCCCTCAAGGTTTCCAGAGATGTATCCATGTTAACACAACTGCTTTCGCCAGATGCTTAACATCTCTGCCCTGTGATTCACTTTTGGAGGGTGTTGATGCATTGTTGAGAGCATGGGGAGGGGACGTTTGTACTGTTGGCCTCTTTGTGGAGTCATCTATCCTGAGGCTTCTTGGCAGACCAAAAGGCTGTAGGCATTGTTGGAGACATCGAAGCATCTGTTTAGGAGACCAAGGTCCGATGCTTGTGCGACGCAGGGAACCACTCCACTGCCGGATGGCCGCCATTCGACGCAGAAATCCCTCCCCAAGGTGGATTTGCCGCGGCAGATGTAGAAGCCGTGGGATCTACTCGTGCACGGTTGCAAGAAAGCGTGGAGACGCTTCAGTTAAAACCACCAGTTGCTCCCAACATCGTAGCTCAGATATGCTCAGGCCATGGCATGATGGTAGCATCGTACTGGTAGATGCATACACGGGTTGTGCAGGGAAACATCTACGACCATCCGATGCAGTACATGATCGTTCTGCCAGAGTCGCGAGCGTCACAAGGAAGAAGCTCAAGCAGCTTGGGGTAAGTTTCAGAGGTAGTTGGTCCGAGAGAGACCAAGACCGAGGGAGAGAGACACACATCGTTGCGCCGGGCTCCGGCCCTAAGCCCAAAAGAAAGACACCGTTGCGGACTGGTACTACCGCCGGGAGGGCTGCAAAGTGTCCAGGGAGTGCAATGGTCGTGGCCGGGGGGACCCCCCTCCTGGGGCTTCCTCGCCGAAGAAGCGAGGACCTCAGGAGAGAGAGGAAGAGAGCGAGAGAGAGAGAGAGCTGCGTGAGGTCATAGTCAGTTGAACGCGGGATCGGGGCGCGCTCTCGCGCGGGGGGTCACCCCCAAGCCCCCAAGAAAGAAAGAAAGAAAGAAAGAGAGAGAGAGAGAGAGAGAGATGGGGGCTTCAGGCACAGGGGGAGTGGGGAACAGTCACGCCGGTGGGCTTCTCCCAAACTGTCTAACCTGGAGGTGCCTTGAATGGCGGGCGCGTACGCCCGGGGGCTTGCCCCCATGCCCCCAAGAAAGAAAGAAAGAAAGAAAGAAAGAAAGAAAGAGAGAGAGAGAGAGAGAGGAAGACACCAAGACGACTGCAAACAGGACAGGGAGAGCGCAGGCCAGTTAAGTGTGGAGAAGAAGAAGAAGAGACATAGCTTTGGCAAGGACTCTCTGTCTCTGTGTGTGTGTGTGTGTTTATTGTTCTAGATGCCTTGCCCAGCGCAAATCTGAGGAGCGCAGGGCATGGTGGGACAGACAGGCGTGCCTGGATGGACACAGGAGCTGCAGGGCAGCTGCTCATCCAGAAGACAGCGCCAGCAGAGCATGCTGGAGGAGAAGCTGGCGGAGCTTCAGTCGAGGGAGCCGGAGCGAAGTCACCGACAGAGTCACATCAGTGGCACGGAGCTGCAGAGCGTGGCCGGTCACCCTCATGCAGGCAGTGTTGGAACTGCATGCCGGAAGAGCGTTGTGGAGGCCAAGCGGTCCCAGCAGAGGCCGCTGTGTGACTAAATTCCCATTCCGGCCCACAGGGCCTACATGTGCCTACATGTTGCAGGGCAAGCATCTCATGGAGTTTGAGCCACCGAGGCAGTGGCATCAGGAGCTGCAGAGGGTGCGCCAGATGGAAGAAGCTGGCACCCAGCAGCTTCGGCGTCGTGAGGCCCAGAAGCCCCCCCCCCCCCCCAAAATGCAGCCCAGTGCCCACAATGACTCAAGGGCTTGAGGGATCCCGACACTTGCGCAGGAGCAACCTCGCAGTGACCAGTGGAGTGAGCTCAAGCTCCAGGAGCTGCCCCTAAACTCCTCAAAGCCCCACAAAAGAAGGCCCCAAGCAAGCACTAAACCCTAAACCCTAAACCCTAAACCCTAAACCCTAAACCTGCTTTCGGGAGCCTTGGAGTGCTAAGAAGCATGAAAACCGAAATCCGAAACCACACCTGCAGAAGCGGACCCATGTGTTCTCAAGCAGATTGTGCTGTCCCTCGGTTTACGAAGCTACGCCGAAGCTGGACCCTGGTTTGCCTGGTTTAGGGTTTAGGGTTTAGTTGTAGTTTTCGCGAAGCAGGAGCAGCAGCTGAGATCGAAAGAGCTCCTTGGCCGAGTCTCCAGAATCAAGCCCAGAGCATAGGACAGATTCCGCGCTGTGTATGTATATATATATATATACTAGACACACGTGCGTGCTTCGCAAGCGCTTGGTGTCGGCACGGACAACTTCGAAGGCTGCTTGTAAGGTCCAAAATTGCCGCAGTCCGTGGGGGGGGGGGTGGGTAGTGCTCGCCATGAACCTTCAAATAGAGCTAGGTGGGCAACATCACTTCGGCTTTTGCCGGAGTTCCGATTTAAGCCCTTATAACCGTAACCCTGAACCCTTTCACAGTCCCCCCAGAAATTTACGGCCTGCGCCGCCGGACGGGGAAGTCCCTGGATGGATGCCTTTTTAACCCCAAAACAAAACCTGGCCACGCAGCCCTGCCTGTTTTTGTAGTTGAAACATGGGGGGTTACCATGCACGCATACATAGATACGAGATATGTATGCGCGTACATATACCTGCCTTTTGTATTTAATGATTTAATGCTTATGCAATACTCTTACGAGTGCAACCCTAAACCCTAAACGCAGAACTTTGAATCCGAACTTTGGCCATTGTAGTACCTGACCCTTTCCCCGTAAACGCTTGCGACACGGGTGGGGAAACCCTAAACCCTAAACCCTAAACCCTAAACCCTAAACCCTAAACCCTAAACCCTAAACCTTGTGAGGTTCCAGGTCCAAGAGGTGCACCAAAGGATGCGAACCGCAGCTGGGCCTCCAGCAGTCCAGGCTGGATGGAGGAAGATTGCTTTACTGAGGTCTTTAAGGTTCCAGAAGAGGATTTAAGTACTGTTAAGGGTTCCAGAAGAGGATTTCAGTGCGGTTTAGTTTTTAGGGTTCAAGGGTTTCCTCGTGAACGTGCGCGTCTTCTGGCAGTTCGGGCAAGTCGAGGTCCGAAAAGGGGTTCCATGGCCAATGTAGGAGCTTGCGCAGGCAGAGCTGCCAAGAGCCCTGCAGCTTCCCGTGCAGCAGCCCGGCTGTTCTCTGCTGTTTCATGTTTCAACAGTTGAACCGTTTAGGGTTCTAGGATTTAGGGTTTATAAGGTTTTTGGGATGTTGTCCCTTAATATGGGCCCTTAAAAGGGGGACCCCTGACATACCCCTTATGTTCCCCTTATCCTCGCAGTCCTCAATAGGGATTGTAGTACCGCCCCATGATAATCCCAATGGAGGATTGTGAGTAAAAGGGGGAACATCCCAAGGTTCAAAGATTCATCCCGAAGCTGCAAACCGTGAAGCCAAGGACCTCTGACGTGGACCCAGGCGGTGCGAAGTCTAAGGCACCCGACGTGAGACTCCAGGTGCTGAGCTGCCAAAAGTCGCTATTGTAGGCTAGATGGGTACTCCCTTCCGCCAGGCGAGACGCGTAGTCCTCAGCTTGCCTCGCGTTTTGCTTCTGTCTGCCAGTGACACCCTCCGTATCTGAGCAAAATCGTCTTGGTGCCAGTCAATTTACGTGTAGCCCTGGATGAGCCACTCGACACTTTGGCAGGCGAATGGAGAGGCTGGAGGTCAGACAGAAGGCCGCCGAGCCGGCCGACAGACCTTGCACAGCAACTTGGCCTTTTCTGGCTCGGGTTGAATGTTAGGGGCTTTTAGGGGCCCTTGCTGCAGTAGGGGCATGTTTGGTCCTCGCCAAGTCCATGAGGCTGCCAAGTCCTCGGTGTGTCACCAGATGATGGCCCAGATCTGATTCAGCAGCAGCTTGGCTTCCCTGATCAGCATGTCTCAGCTGCACCGCAAAGTCCCAACGACCTCTTTCTGCGTCTCTGAGACACTGTCGCAGTACGTTGCGTCTCCTATGGAAAGTTGACTGTGCCTAGAACCCCAAACCAACAGCAGCCCACAGGTCAGCTTTTGGCTCCAAGCGGAGTCGAGTTTCTTCTAGTTTCCCTGTGCCGCGCTCCATTCTCATGCTGCCTGACTACAGCGATAGTCCGGTTCTTACCGGCGTGGTTGCACAGGGGCTCCTTCCTTCGAAGAGGGATTGTTACCTGCTGGCGCAGACAGTGTTGAAGGGATTTGCCAGCTGGTTTTGCTCTCGTCCTGCGTGGACAGTGGGAGAGGCCAGTGCGACCCTTCGAAAACGTTACATTAAGATCCAGGAAAGCTATGATGGTGTTGCCGTCATAAACCATGGATGCATCGAAGACTACTTCACAGAGGGAGGGCACCTCGGTCGTGGTGGATTTGGGACCGTGTGCAGGGTCGAGCCCACTGGACATGGACTGAGCCAGTTCAAGCCACTGAGCCCTGGCATAGCATACGCTATGAAGAAGGTCAAACTCCCCAACCGGGATCCAGAGTTGGAGTCCCTGTCCAAGAGCTTCGTAAACGTCCCGATGAGCCGCATGCTCGAGTTCCTTCAGGCCCTCGGAGAGGAGAGGGCCACGCGAGAGCACGTCACTCGAAATCTACTGAGGGTCTTGGACATGCCGCAAAGCATGTACATTGTCATGAACCTTCTGGAGGGGCCAACACTGCAAGGTTGGATGACCGCCCTGAAGACCGCAGTTCCCGAGCGCACCTGCGCAGACTTGGCGCAGCAGATGCTCTCGGCAGTGCACTACTTACATCGTGTGGCCGGAGCCGTGCACCGTGACGTTAAACCGGACAACTTTGGCTTTGTCCGTGCAGTCCGGAATATTGACCAGCCAGGGAACGTACAGCTCTTCGACATGGGCTTGGCTTGGGTGCTGCCCGAAAAGATCCAAGAGTCCAGCGCAATGGACCTCCACGATGTTGCTCCTGGCGGCACACTGCGTTGGCTCTCTCCTGAAGCCTGGTGCGGACTCTGCGGTGCCTGCTCGGACGTTTGGGGAGTGGGATTGATTGTGCACACACTCCTCGTCGGAGACATGCCGTTTGGACTCCGCAAGCTTGAGGAGGAGGTGCAGGTCCGCAATGCTGTTTTCAAGAGCAAGTTGAACCTGAGCACCTCGATCTGGCGCCGTGTCTCCGCGCAGGCACGCAAATTTGTAGACCAGCTCTTGGCCAAAGATGTCGCGGCTCGGGCCACCACGACTGCAGCACTGAGGCACAGCTTCATCCGAGAGGAGAACGTGCCTCCGTCATGGAGTTCGAGGGTGTGCACCGAGAACGTGCCACCTTCACCACAGGGTCCGAAGGTGTGCACCCAGCAGTGTGGCGGCTTCTTCCCGCGCGTGGGAAGACGAAGCCTTTACTTTCACGCAGTTGACTGAGCGCTGAACATCGGATGAGTAGCATGGGAACAGCAGCCGCAAGCTGAACCTACTGGAGTTCGAGTATCCCCGCAAGCATGGTGTGCTACTAGCTGTGATGCTGATGGGGTCGTATAGTCCTGACCTGAACAAAAAGCTGCTGCTTCCTGGATATAGGCTTGGGCGCTACATTGCCAGCCTTAAAAACATCTTTCTCCTTTGAAATCTGCCCAGGGCAATCGCCCGACGATTGGCAGCTGCCATCTAGAGTCATCTAGATCCTTCGCAGGAGCAAACCATACCGGTGGCTGGCTCATCATTAGGCAGGTCAGGTGACGTGTGGATCTTTTGGGCTCACTGAAAGTATGGTTTGCGATTTCCTCCCTGACGCATCCGATGCATCCTTTGAGACAGGGAGACCAAAGGCCCTAAGAGTCGAAAGGAACCCGGATGATGAGCCACGGAAGCATGCTACTTGGGCACACCGTGGTTGCAGCGTCCGCAAAGCTTCCTCGACCGGCCATCGTTGCACACAATCCTAAGCAGTGCCTTGGCATTGTTGCCTTATCTTGGAACTTGTACAGCTGGAGACGGCGCCTCGGAGCACGACGCGCGAAAAAAGAGCCGAGAGCAGTTCTGGCGAGTCGTTGTGCTTATGTGCGATTTCATGATTTGGCCTGTGCGACTGCCGCACCCAAGAAGGCACTCCTGATAGCAGCTGAGCATTCCCGTGCGGTTTTCGATCCAAACACGCTTCAGGCAATATCGGCGAAGCGCTTTGAGAGACCATCCAGACAAGGGGGGGAGCCACGACCAGTTCACACAGCTGCAAGCCGCCAGAGACACTTGGCATGACTTGGCTGCAAGTGCCACCAAGTGCCACTTGGCATGAGCTCCGTAAGTCCCTGGAGGGACAGCCATGCCTTGCAGTGGCATCTCCTCTCAGCATCACCTGCCAAAGGACTACATGGAGGCACGTCAGTCCAATTTCAGCCGCGTGGATACAGGGCCAGGGGCTTAAGAGCTTGAATGTCAATGCTGGACATCGTCCCACACTTGCCGCAACATTACTACCAGCAGGGCCTCAGCAACTGCCCGTACTGTTCCTGTTGTCCCCGTAGCATCCTGTAGCTGCCATGGCGACAATTCTTTTTTCAAGTATTGTTTGCAAAGCCTCGCTCGGAAGTTCTGAATCTTTGCACAACCCTCCACGAGGAGACTTCAGGGAGAGGAGCTTGAGCAACGGCGAGCTCTGTCGGCAGAGGTGCGACTTCATGATGCTCACCAACATCAACTTGAAGCCTTAGAGCCCCTGAAAGCACAGCATCATTGTCGCTGCCCTTAACATCCAGCCCTTCAGGGCCAGCCACCGTCTCAGCCTGAATCTTTGCTGCATGTCATCTGGGCGGGGGCTATTCTGCGTGCCACAGCATGCAACCAACCTGTTCTTTGGATTTCTGGGTCCATAGCCCAGGCGATAGCAGAGGCCGCAAACCTCTGCGCGGCTCCACCGCTTAGCACCAGCGCAAGCTCGCCACTGGGAATGGTAGATGTCTTGTGTAGCCGAGAGCTTGTCTTTAGCTGATGTGCCGACTTCATGTATTTCAATGGTGGGTACGGTGGCCGCGCCCAGGTCCCCGAGGAGCATGGAGTGCATGGCAAAGCCCCCGGAACTCACAGCCCCTGCGATGCTTCAGGACCCCGTGTGAGAGCTCTTGTCCAAGGGTCAGCTCCTAAAAGTAGATGAGGGAGGCATGTAGAACCATCAAGCCCATCCTAGAGTGCAGTCTCTTCGTTCAAACGGCTACACTTCCTGTTGTGCGCAAGCCGTAAGGTGCAAACCCCGGCGGCAGACCCCGGAAACCACCTTCCACAGCCCCCATGTGGCCATTCCATGGCAGGTCCCCACGACCAGCACGTCACAGCATCAGTTCAGTCCCAAGTATGATGTCTCAGGAAGCAAAGCCCGACCAGTCCAGCACAGCAATATGCCTTTGTCTCTGGCCTTGGCTACCTTGACCCGATGGCATGTGAATCATGCCATACGGCTAACTCCTTGCGTCAGCAGCTGTGGTTTCACATGTAAATCAGTAAATTATGCCTTCGAAAAATCCAGTTGTCTTTGTACTTAAGAGCATCGTTATTCAACTTCCAGCCGGGCACTGATGTTTGAGAAGATGCCTGTAGGACTCTCGCTGCGCTGCAGCCGCACTCCCTGTGACGGCAGTCGCTTGCTTGCAGGGCAGCCCCCATGTTTGTGACTTCCGCAGACACTGCGGTCCCCTATCTGACCGTATATATATATATATACCTTACATAATCCCTATATACCTAAGTAGCCCCCAATTTTTCCCTCTAAGGTCCCTTAAAAGGGTCCCTCCGTTAGTCCCCTATCAGCTGGAATTCAAGTCAGCTCTTGAGCCGAAGTGAGGCCAAAGAAGAGCGAGGGATCAACTCGAAGCCTGAGCCGACACCGCGGCCGACGACTCCCATGGGTCAGATGAGCACGGAGCCCCTGGGAGTTTACGAAAATAAAAGGGGGGGACCCCAGATGTAAACCCCCAAATGGTAGGATTCCCCTTCTCATAAGGGTCCCCGAATTTTGGAAAATCCCCCCCTTGCCCAATCCTGTATCCTGTTGATTGCCAGTAGTTTCATTGATGCAGAGTAGACCTGGCCAAGAGTATTGCATGGCACCAACTAGCAAGGTTGTGATAAGCATTAGCCAAGGCTGTGCGCAGTCCCAGCAGAAACTCCGAAGGTGCGGAAGGTCGTCGGTGGCTAAGGGTTTCATGCGGCCTCGTTGTTCGGAGAAGGGGCGCTAAGCCGCTGGAGTGAGTTGCAAGGTTTGCAAGCCAGATGCCCCCAAAACAAGGATTTCACAAGAGTTCCACGGTGTAGCCCTAAACCCTAAACCCTAAACCCTAAACTGCAGCCCTGAAGGATGCCGAGCACTACGAGATGATGGTCGACTTGACAGGTGAGATGCCCGTGCACATCGCCACGAGCCGGCCCTCCCTGAGCCTGGCAAGCGCCGCTGGTCGGAGACTACTTTTGGGGGGGTTCATGGTACTGATGAACCACCTCTAGCTGTACATATAAACCACTTTAAAAGCCGCTTAAGTGCCCAATATGGTTATGATAAGTACAGCTATAAGTACAGCTAGAATTGGTTAATAAGTACCATGAACCTCCAAGTAGGGCGACTAAAGGGAGCTTGAGGCTGGCTTGCGAGGGTCATGGCGCGCCGCGCCTTAAACAGTGACAGTGCGGTTGATAGAGCGCGACATGTACTTTGCAAAGCCCTGCTCAATTTCTCTGTCTTCAATAGGGGAGTCTGGAGTGAGAGGTCAAAACGCCGACCCGCCGTCCGCCACGGGAAGAGGATGCAGGGCTTGTTTGTTGCCGATCGTGGCCTGGACAAGATTGTCGGTATCCCGGGCTGACTCGACCCCTCAATTCATAACTTAGAGCCTCTGCCCCCTACTATTGAGATTTTTCTCCATCCCCTCCACCTACTATGGCTGTAATATAAGAATACGGAATCGTGACATACATCTTGGGTTGTGGTGCTTGGGTTTGCTGGCGGTGCGTGGGTGTGTGCATGTGGACGACCCTTTAACTTCGGGTCCCTTCGTCGAACCCTCGCGTTTTTCTTCGGGCTTTGTCTTGGCCTTTTGTATCGGCCTTCGTCGAACCCCCTCCCCCCTTCGTCGAACCTCCGGCCTTCGTCGAACCTTCGCCCGGCCCCCCGGCCTTCGTCGAACTTCGTCTCGGCCCGTTGGTATCCCGAGTCTTCGTCGAAGTTCTCCGGCCATCCTGCTCTTCGGCCATCCTGGTGTGTTTTCCCCTTACTTTAGTGTTGGGGGCTGGACTTCCCACCCCGGACGAAGGTGACCAGGAAAGAATTATGTTCATGCTCCTAGATTGGCCCTACTTTGTTAGAGGAGCGCCCTCAACCTAGCATTGGCTTGGCATCGAACGCGCGTTTGCAGTGCCTTGGGCTGGAGTTCAGGCAAGTCCCCCTTACTAACTGTGCCGCAGCATGACATAAATTGACGCAAGCTGACAGCCAGGATTCACGCAACAGAAATAATGCAGTTGTACCATGTGCTGCCACCATGTGAGGGGTCAGGCGGGCCAATAGTCAGAAGCTGAGGAATGCTGCTTTGGCGACTGACGCGCCTCCCCCGCCCCTTGCACCACCTGAGCAGCCCTCGCAGAGCTGGGACACCGAGTCAGAGGAGCAAGTTCATTAGGGCTCAGATGGGGGTTTCCGAAATTACGGGGTGCCCTTTTTGGGGTCCTTTTTGTAAGGGGACCCTTCTATTTGGGGATCAAAATTGAGGTTCCCCATTTTCGTAAACCCTCCCCCCCCCCCCCCAGAGGGTTTAGAGCTTATAGGGTGACGTTGGATCTGGACTTGCGCGGTGCGCCTGTCACTCCGTAAACTCGTGTCTTAGTTTTGGGGCTACTTCCCCTTAGTCCCAGCAGGGCTGAGAGCTGTGGGCCTCACCCCAGGCCAGACATTGCAAGTCTAGGGTTTAGGGTTTAGGGTTTGGGGTTCAGGGTAGCTTCTGCTGGCTCCAGTTTGCAAACCGAGCTTCCCCGCAGGATGTCTCCGACGTGGACGGGCTTGGGACGGACATCGCCAGCTTTCCAACCCTGCCCTTTCAACGCACAAGTAGCCCTGTAGGGTGCAAAACTGCCTTGTGGTCACGCAACGTTGGCCCAGGCGAGCAAATCACAGCTCACGGCGGAGCACTCTGGCGGTCTCAAAGGCAAGGTGCTGGCATGTAAGGAACCTCTCTTTGTCATGCTTTGTCAGAAATAGTATTGCAGTCTACCTGCAAAGTAAAAACAAAGTGCTATATATACAGTCTACTACAAAGTTGACAAACTTTCAGATACCTTCAATGACCACCCCCCCCCCCCCCCCCCCCCCCACAAAACCAAAAGAGCGAACGCCAAGAACCTTGAGATCCCAAAACAGCCCCTGTTCATGAACCCGAAAACCCTATTAAGCCCTAAACCCTACAACCCTAAACCCTAAATCCTTACAAGGCCCAGCGAGAGGGCAGTCCACCAACCTGCAAGGCCTGACACGCGGCAACCCTGAACTTCCACCCCCCCTTGTCAGGCTGAACGCTCCATGGCCCTGCCTCCCGCGCCCACCGAAAAGGCTGCGCCCGGGCTTGACATGCGCATGACATGATTGCTTGGGGGACCCTGTGCGCAAACATCCGAAAAGGTCGCTTTTTGCGGCCGTGATGCTGTTCGTGGGGAGCCACCACGGCAACGACAGCCCTCCATCGCCAGTCAGCTGCTTGCTAGAATGAAGTGGAGAAGAGAAGCATCTAGGCCAGTGCAAGATCCATGCAAAACTTGGCGGCACAGAACCTCGACTACGAAAACAAAGTAGGAATTCATGACATAGCCCCGTGTCTCTTGCGGCTTGCTTGAGAGCCTCGCGAGTGCGTGTGGCCTTTTGACAAGTTGCCAAGGGCCCCGTCGAGTGTTGGGAGCCAAGCTGACGACATCCGATTGGCAGTGTGCTCAACCGCTTAAGACCTGTTTTGCTGAGGAGGGCGAGGCAGCCCAGACACCAAAGCGAAGGTCACCTGGGTGGCACACCCTCGACAGCAGCTCGGTTTGGCAAAAAGAACGAAGACGGGGTGTCCTGCCTCATGAAAAGTTGCAAAGCCGAGAATCGGTTCGATAGGGTTTAGGGTTTAGGGTTTACGGTTTAGGGTTTAGGGTGTAGGGTGTAGGGTTTAGGGTTTACGGTTCTGTTGTCTTTCCTGTCACTCATGCAGAAGCTACGCAGCTAGGCTTAGGCGCAGGACCTTTGCAGGCATACCATCATGTGTATCACGTCTTTGTGACCAGAAGCCCAACAGCCTAGGCTGTGAGGTGCTAGGCGTCACTCCAGACGATGGCTACGAGTCCATTCAGAAGTCTCTTGCCATCAGGGACTTTCAAGGTGTTGCACATGGCAAATGTTGGCAAACTCTTGGCGGCTGAGTCCGCCAGAGCCACCAGAGCACACGACGTCCTGATTTGGTGTTTGGTCTCTCGAGGCAGTACCGTCGGCAAGCCCTGCGACATCACCCGGACAAGGCACTCATATGTAGCCAAGCATTCTAAAAGGTTGATGAAACGATCCATGAGTGACAAGCTACAGAGGACACGTGACAGGGCATACATATGCATGCATGGCTTCCGCAGTCATCCACGCACATCCCTCCTTAACCCAAGCTGCGCGATTGCCTGCCCAAATCTGTCTGCAACTGTCCTTGAGCATCCATGAGCCGTTTTCCGCCAGCCAGGGTGGCCGTGCCTCACTCTTCCGGCATCTCCACGATGCTCGGGTGCCTTGGCAGCACTTTTGGGTCGGACGCGTACGTGACTTGGGGGTTTCGAGTTAAGTTCGGACCGGTTGCACCGTAAGAGCCCAGGATTACCTTTCGTCCAAGCAGACGCGGTGGCAGCGCGCGGCCACAACGCAGACAAGGCCGATTTGAGAGACGCGCATTGAAATGCCTTTATGCGGACAAGGGTGATTGTGAGTAGCATGGGGTAAGCTTAAGCAGTTTGTGAGCTTCTTAGTCCGCATCTCAGTGCTTCCGTGCATGAGAGCAAGTAGGCACGGATGCTGGCTGAAATCAGGAAGCAGAGGCCACAAAACATCGCAAACTCCACATTCAAGCAGTTTGATTGCTTGAGCACTTGCAAGAGAGTTCGGCGATCCGGTTTCCTGGCACGTGGAGACTCCGGACCTCGCCGATATGGGGATTTCCGAAGATAATTCCAAAATACTATGTACTCCTGATAAAGGAGCCCCAAAATGAGTACCACTATTTTCGGAAACCCCATACACTCTGGCGAGTTTTCTTGAGATCTAGGTGTCCGGACTTTGGCACGGCTACTCTTTGTATGTCTGTCGATGTGGTTTCCTGGCCATACTTCCCTAAAATGCGCTGCTCTTCGTCTAGCCCTGGCATTTGGAAAAGCAGGGATTCTGGGTCCGCGTGTTTATCGGGCTTGTGGATGGGAAGCAACACAGGTTTTCCAAGTGGATCGAGCAAATCACAGCTCGCGAATCCAAACCTCCAACTGTCGACTTTTCAGTAATACCCTAAACCCTAAACGACAGGTTTCAGATTACAGTAGTTGGGTTCTTGTTATGGCCAACTAAGCGATGAAGCAATGCTAGGCGGCTAGTGAACAGTGCAAGGCCTCCGCCGCGGGAAGCCACTCGCCCAGACCACGAGGCACCGGATTTAGCCACCTGACCAGATGAATATTGCATCATACTCCCTCTTAGCCCCCTCTTTGCCCCCCCTCTTACCCTACCTGCTTTCTAGCAACTCTGGCGGCTGTGAATCGCATGCAGGCCAAGGACTGGCAGCGCTCAGACGCGCTGGAGGAGGTGGCCAGTGAGCACGGCAGCGTGGACATGGCAGAGGCGAAGTCGCGGCGATGGCAGCGCATGACGGGATCCACAGAATACCCCGCGTCATCGTTGCGGCGAACGTTCGGGCCTGAGTTGAGTCTGGTACAAATCAATACTCGTAGCAGGTGACCTTGAGAATCTCGGCAACTGCCCATGGACACAGGAGCTCTACCATTTCCGATGATGGCACGTTGGGCAATCCTTCCCCTGTGTCTGCCCCTGAGCTGCGGGAGGCCCGCCGATATCTGCACTGTCCCAGCGTCTGTTTGGATATGAGTGTGTATAGTGTATGGCTTCACTCCTTTTATCTGGCATCCGCTTCGTTCTTAGCTGGAGACCTGCATTCAGGCATTCTCTCCCCATGGTGGACGCTTTGAGGACGACGGAGAGACTGACCTAGGCCAGGCCTGATTCAGCCCATGCAAGATGTATTTCTCGGAGTCCAACGCTCGTTCGGCTCCATGGGCAACCATGTGTATAAATCGTGCATTTACACCTGCAGGACAGTGAATCAGAGTGAATCAATCTCAATCCCAGGGCCAGATTCACGCAAAGCAGACGGACGCACTCAGTCCCCAGTGGACTCCTTTTTTACAGAATCTCAATTCCACACAGGTTTGACAGCTCGGGCTCCCGCAGCAGCTACTTGGAGGCGTGCTTGCGACAATGGGCAATTGGCACTCTCTTCGGGATGGGTTTAGAGTTGACGGGCCAGGGCTTATCAGTGCCGATGCATGGTTCGTTTTGGGGCTGCCAGGGAAACTCTCGCATGTTCAAAGCAAACGCATTTCCAACTTGCCGAACGAAGCAAAAATCTACCCGAACATGCTCAGTCACGCAGGCACGATCTGCAGAATGCTCGCCATGAAGATGGCTTTGAACTGCAGGCTGGGGGCAAGCATTGCTGTCAGGCATCTGTGCGGTGTTGCTGGCATGAACTCGATGGATGGGGGGTTGGGCTTAGCCGGAAAGCGTCACGCTGCATACCAAGCATGCATGAATGTACTGGCAAGGGTGCGCCGAGAGTCCCATGGAGCCGACAGGCAGCTTGGCAAAAGACATTGATATGGTTTGTCATGAGGGGCACTTGTGGCCATCAGCGATCGTGGCTGGCTTGGGTGCTGCCCTGGCTTGCTGTTAAGCCCATTGGGTTTGGGAGTGCATGTCGTCTTGCCTACTGGTGGAACCGCTCTTCAGCAATTCTCTTTGCTTCGCATGTCCAAGTCCTCAAACTGTCATGCAGATGCCCTTGCAAGAATGTGCGCAGATCTGTAAATCTATTTAATCTCTGCGCGCAGAGAACACTCTAGTTGTTGAATTGTCCCCGAAACACTTCGAAACTACTCTCATGATTGTAGGCCTTGGAGTCCAGTGTGCACACTCACTTGCACCTTGGCATGAAGACTGGTCTGCCGTCTTCTCGATGGGGACCCCGGTGTCCTTGGCAGAGCATGTTGTTCGGGTGCGGGTTCAGTTGCATTGTAGCGAGCTATGAGTTGCAAGTGACGGCAAGTTGCTTTGTTCATACAATGGCAGTGAAATGCTCCAAGCTGCCATTGCACTATAGTCCCATGAGTGCAAGTAGGTCCTTTTGTTCACAGATGGTTCACACTGAGGCGAACCATGGATGCTCATTGTGCTGCTCTGACACGCACATACCATCAGTTGGCGAGCCTGCATGGAACCTTGGCAGCATCGGTACTTCCCATCCGCAAAAGCGAGTTTCGTGTTCAAATGGGGCGAAAGCATGATTTTTGGGTGGGGGCTTGCAGTTGCCATCAAATGTCATCATATACTGAACCGAGCGTTTTCCTCAGGTGAGCTTGGCCAAGCTTTCGTGGACCTACGGCATGCTTGGGCGCCTCTGCACGATGAGGCCGCTGCATCATGCTGTGCAGACACGGGCATACTTGGATCCAGGAAAAATGATGAGAGCGCCTGCTGCATTTGATTGTCTTCTCATCCTTTCGCACTCATTGTGCCATATTTGTGCCACTGCCGCGCGTTGGTTAAAAGATATGATCTCTTGTGGCAAGGCTGCGGTCTGAACCATATGTCGGCTTCGAAAGATGCCAGCTTCAGGCAGCCGTGCACGCGCGCAACTGATCTGAATGTATGGTGGGCGTCCCAGATAGGAATGCGAGTGCCGGCGAAATGTTTTGTTGGCTTTTGGGCTTCAATAGCCCATCAGCTTCAGAATCAGCCGGCCACAATTCTCGAATTCACGCGCACGCTGCTCCATTCCCAGCTCTTTCCGATCGGTACATGGCATCCTCTGCATTCTCTTGGAAGCAGCAGAAGCTGAACCTGAAACATGTTTCCTGTCTGGTGCAGTTATCATCTTTACTCGTGACCCTAAACCCTAAACCCCAAGTCCTAAACCCTAAACCCTAAACTAACCCTACAGTGAGCAGGGCATGGAGGGGTTGGGAGCAGGACTGGGTGGCCGTGCGAACTCATTCACGCTCCCAGAAGGGCGCCCCCTGCATGGTCGGCAGTCTGTTGCGCACTCTTTCGGCCTCAAGCTGCAAACTCCAAAGGGCCGAATCCAACATGCTTATCTCCGAAGCTTGGCATGCTGAAATACTATATGCAGTCCGGGAAGTGTGGCCCCGTAATAACGTCGGAGGCGTTTCGATCGTACAGCTGCAGCTATGCGCAATGTGCATTTTTGAATCCCCCGGCATTTCTTCGCGCAGCTCCAGCAGATTCTGTTGACGTCTGTGGCAGGATCTCTGTTCAGCATGGACGACGCATGGCATTGGCAAAGACCTCGAAGACCTACTCTTGTCCCCCAAATAGTAGGCTCCCCTGAAAATGACGACCCCAATAAGGTACCCCCAATAGCGTAATGTTGGACTCGCTTTAGTGTGGGGGGTTCCGAGCCCCCCCCCCCCCTACAATTTTTGGGGTTTTCGGGGATCCTTAATAATGTGGGATGGGGCTGGGACCGGGCTGGGGGTAGGGCGGCTAGGGGTCGAGGGTTGAGGGGAAGCCTTGAAGCTTGAGGATCTAAGCCTTTCCAGGCTTTGTAGCTCCACGGTCGCCGGGGCTCCGCATGAATGCGGACCACCGAAACAACTTGCTAAAGCGAATCAGGGCAGCTCGTGGGCTACTCCCTTGGAAAATTGTTTGGGGGCCTGTTTCGTAATGAAATTTTACAAGGAATTTAAATAAGGCTGGACACCAAAAAAACCCGGAGTTTCTTCTTCAAGACTTTTTTTAGTTTTTGGCTCCCCGGCCCCCCGCCCTTCAACCCCAGCCGGGACAACATCGCATAATTGTGAACCACCCTAAACACTGGGGGGGTCCTGTTTCAGATTTTCGGAACATCGCGTAATAGCGGTCCCATCCACTAAAGGGTGCAACATTAACCCCCCCAAGTTGCCACATGAAACACCCCGACTGCCAATGCATGCTGGCGTCTGCTGTGAAGTTGTGATGACAAAGCCGGGCCGACTGGCAGCAAAGGAGCCCGCATGTTTGAGGTTATAGGAGCACTGATGTTGGTATGAGGAGCCTTGTAGTTAATGTCGCTGCCAGGCGGGTAGCTCAGAATGTTTAGAGCGCGACTGGTCTTTGACGCTGGGATCAGCGCGCACCTCTCCGTTCGCAAGCGCAGCGGCGAATTCGAACTTTCGGCTGTGCTTAAATTCGCGCTCCTCCCCAAGCGCTGCTTTCAAGACCGCTTTCGTGGATGCTTGTCAACCAATGCATGTTGAAGTCAGGCCCCCCCCCCCCCCACAATGTCATCCAGCTACCTGTGTCGTCAATCCCACATCATCTAACTGTTATAGGGTTCATCTCAAGCAGAGAGTTTACGCTGTCCTGTCTGAATCATAATGTTGGTATGGTGCGTCGTCCAGTGAAAAGAAAAACTTGCTGCCAAAGGCAGCCACTTGCAAGCTGAAATCGCCCTCACGCCAGCGACGGCAAAAGGATTGCAAGGTGCACTAAAATCTTCGGCCCAGGGCCTTTATACTACGAATTGCTGAAGCACGCCCAGAAAATAAAATATAAGGGTAACATAGGGATTCTTCGTTTGTTACTTTTTGGGGATTCTTAAGCAAGTAGTAGTATAGCCAAATCAGCAGGCAGTTCGTGTGTGAATGTGTGATCTTTGCAGGACACCGCGAGAATTGTCCGCGCAGTCGATGCTGGCTGCTTCAAGTCCCAGCCTTGCACGTTCATGCAAGCAGATGCGAAGCAAACTAGCACATCGTGCTCGCCTAAGCCGGTTCATCTGGCTGAACTACTAGGCCCCCGCCCCCCCTGGTACCAGAGTCACCAGAGCTTCTCCGACAACTTGAACAGGCCATCAACCCTAAAATTACCCAAACCTACCAAACCCTAAATTACCCGACTCTGAACTCTGCGCACGAAATCATTGAGGATGAACGTGGGCTTCGGGCCGATGATTGGCGAGGATGCGCCTGTGAAGGTCAAGGCCGGTCCAGCCCCGTTCGAATGCGTGCAGGCTTTAGGCTTTGGGCTTTAGGCTTTAGGGCTTAGAGTTTAGGAGTTTAGGGTTTTTGGGTTGAGACAGGGCCAGTGCCCCGACTCGCGCCTACGGAGAGGCCTAGCTCGGGCTGTTCCTGGCAGAGTGGTTGTAGGCCAGTTGAAAAACATAAAGATGGGTCGGAAAAGTAGCCCCCTATCATAGGCGTCGATCGGCACCTATACAGACCCTATGGTTTTTGGATAGATCCCTTGTGAAAATAGGGTTTGTGGTTACATCAAGGAGGCCCAGCTGCAAAGAAGGGCTTGAGGTTGAGTCGACGCAGACCAAATGCAAAGAATGGGCTTGCCAGACCATGCGATTGGGGTTCACCATTCCGCGAGCTGTGCTCAAAGCCGGCTTGCAATTTGGAACGCAGGTAGCTTGACACAAAAACAGACAAACACTGGTGCAGATCTCCGCGCCGGAAAAGTTCAACTTGTTTTCTACATCGATCATTCAAGCTTCTTGTGAACCTGTGTGAAGCGAAACTCTTCAGGACCTCATAAGCAGCGATGACTGATGTACCAAAATCCAGAAATGCGCGATGCAGCCCGCCGGAACCTTGCCCAGAACTACTGAAATGTCGGCAGCGAACGGTTCCAAGTTGGCACTCGGTGGGACCAATCTGGGCTGCATATTCTGATGTCTCGGCATGGCATCGAGGATGGAGGCAATGTCACGGCTTCCCACTAGACACGCAGAACTCCCAGCCAAAGCACCCTGCAGAAGATACATTTGGCCCTTTTGTGGCTGAACAAACTCATGCACTCACGCATACACACAGACAAATGCGCATGCACTGTTTTGCGCAGCGCACCAGCACGCAAACAAACAAATCAGAGCCAGCTAAGACATAAAGACACAAATCAAGCAAAGCAGCACGAGGCAAAGCAACGCAAAGCACACAAACAAACAAACAAACAAACAAACAAACAAACAAACAAACAAACAAACAAACAAGCTCATAAGCACAAACAAGTTAATAACGAACAAGCGCAACCAAGCAGACACAGAGAACTTGTCAGACATTGGACACGAAGACAGACGGAGAGGCAAAGAGACGGAGAGGCAGAGAGACAGAGAGGCACAGAAGCAGTGGGGCGGGGAGGGCAGAGGGAGAGAGGGCGCGAGAGAGAGAGGGGGAGATAGACTGATCCTGGCGACACGGGGTGTTGAGAGGAGGCAAGAGGGGAGCGTCCTCATTGGGCTGCTAAAGACAGCCACTCCACCAGTTTATCGGCGATAAGGGGGAGGCCTACGGGATAGTTGAAGGGGGAAGAGTGATAGGAGCGGTCCATTGTAAGGCCCAATCTCCTTGTAACAAAACGACAAGGGGGAGATAGCCTTCCTGCAGTGAACGGCAGCAGGGAAAGTTTGCAGTGCGGCGAGGACGCGTGGCTGACGGCGGGTGCATTATAAGTCGGACCTCGTTAAAACCAGGGAGTCAGCTGCTGCCGTCTGAAGTGCGAGTGCAAACTCGAGGTCGAGTGACACCAGGGAGCATTTGGTTTTAGGTGTAGGGGGGCATAGACTCGACCGTGTCACGCAACGGAGCAAAGTTAGACGACATCGACATGGTGGCCGGCACCGATGTCTTAGGGTGTGCACTGTCAAGCGGCTTGGTTGCTAGAGGGAACAAAGGGGCCATCAGGGATGTCGTTGTCCGTACTCTCCGTTGAGAAGTGTCCCTGAAACTGGACACAACCTGGCACGCCGCGCGGAAGGGGGGGGGGGGGGGGGGGGGGGGCGCTCGGGCCCTTCAAGCCCCGTAGAAGAAGAAAAAGATGACGAAGAAACAAAAGAAGAAGAAGAAGAACACCGATCCTGGGGCGAGCCCTCACGAGGGACCGCCCCCTAAACCCTACGAAATAGGAAGACTCAAGCTGAGAGGGTTGCAAGAGAGACAGGAAGCTATGCACGATAGCCAAAACAAGGGACATGCCTGTGCAATTTGTTGTGCAGGATGCGTACCAATGCCACGAGAAGCTGTTGCAGTCCGGTGTTGCTGCAGCTCAACATTTCGCGCTACAGACTTAGATGGTGTTTGCACAGTCAAGAGTCAGGATGTGTGGATAGAATCAGGCAGTTCGCTTGACCTAGTAAGTGCAACGTCAAATCTTGCAGTTTATAAAACAAGGTATGACACGCGGGATGGACTGTGCCGGATCGTGGCTCCTGGCGTCCATGCCTCTGTCATGCCAGTTTATTGTAGAAACGACTTCTTTGATTCATCGATGTCTTTCTGAAGCAAATTAAGCCCCGATGTACCCTTGCATTTTGGTATCATTGCTCTCGCCATCAGTTCAGGCGCAGGAGCTGCAAATGCTCGGGTTCATGTCCGGGTCTGGAGCTCGAGCTGTGGATCAGGCTGCAAAGCATACTTGTTCAGGCACCAATAGAAATACACTCTGCATCATTGCTCTTGAACTCGGACGATGGTATCAGGACGTGTGATCAGAGGCGACCTCTGGCTTGTTTGTTAAAGAACTCGCAGTTTCAACGCCAGTCCATGAAAGACCATCGTTTGGAGGATCTGATCTAATTCTC